AATGACACACTTCACAGCCAAATAATGTCAGATTGGAGCATAGATGCAAATACAAGCTTGGTGTCACATGATACTTGGAAATTAGGTAAGGACCTTAAGGCCACATTAGAACCCTTGAATCTGACATACACAGGAACTAAAATAGGATAAAGCATAGAATAGGAAAATAGAGAGGCAACAAAGTAAGGTTAAGTCCACCACACCACCACCTCAAGGAACCCGCACTGAGCGACCAGACATTATTAGATAACTTAATAAAATATCTGAGAGGGTACAATATTCTGTCTGTCCAAACCCTCCATATGCAAAATGTGAAACAAACAGAGATGTTCGGAATATAAAATCTTTTGCATGTAAGCAGCTGAGAGCCTGTACAGAGTGAGGAGGGAGTGAGTCAGTGTTTAAGAGGCCTTATTGAATGGAAATCATTTTAAGGGTTTCACTGTTATTAGACGGAAATGCTATCAGGGTTTCAGATGTTTTAATTTCTTTGACCCAGGACAGCCATTGTTTTTTTCAATGGGTGCTTTGAGGTGTTTCCAGAGGGCAGGTAAAAACCGTTATAGTTGAGGATGAGAGTCTTAGTCCTCTAGTTATCTGTAAAAGACTTATTAAGAATTGTCTACTGAGTTCAATTATATAGAAGGAATCCCCCCTCCGGCCCCTACGAGATGCAGGTTTAAACTCAAAATGGAATTCTCACTCACAGATGCTTGAACCATGTTGAAGTGGTATTGTAACCACTATCCATCCCTCCAAAATGAGTATTTCATAAGGATAAAAACTTTATAAAATACTTAAATTGACTGTGTTGGAATGGCACTGATATTCCAATGCAGTCAAAAGATATAGTGAGATTAAGTAGGGACTTCCTTGTATTAGTATTTTTCCTGCACTTGACAAAAGGCGGAGCTTCCTTTGTTATGTTTTGTAATTTCCCCCAGTAACAGCTGTAGGAAAAGAGGGTCTGTCTACAGAGGGTCTGGCAGGATCTTCCTTAGACCTCAGTGTGTTGCAGATGTGTGAGAGTACAGTACTGATGTGACTCCTGGCAGCTGATGCAACATTAGCTGAAGAGGACCAGCAGGAAGACCATGGAGGTGGCTATAAGAGATAAGAGTTTTGTAACTGTTAACAGCAGAATTTCTCGATCATGGAGGGTTCCTTTATCCCTCAGAAGCTCTAAGGATAAAGTCTCCTGAACCCACAAAAAAACAAGATCCAGGATGACAGACCCTGCCTTGGCTAAAATATTATTATATGTTAGATGCAGTAGAGGACTTAGTGTGGGAGATACTGGTGAATTTTACCTAAGTCAGAACCAGATCCTGAATGTCTGAGCCAATGGGGAACCAGAGGTGATATCCCTAGGGATAGCTGAGGAGGTGTTCCAAACAAGAGAATGGATTGGGTCCAGGAGCATGCATATTCTAGTTTAAGCCAAAGTTTTGTGAAATCATGCACATGCCAGTCCAAGACAAAAAAAAGCAATGGGAAGCCCTATCTGGAACTGTTCCATATTGCCAAGGTGTCTGAAAGTGTCCCATTTACCAACAAACATGCATTCAGACATGTGTGGAAGGAAGAAATTCAAAAACAAATCTCAGTATCTGACTAGAAGCAACACCGGTTAACTATGTTTCTTAGCTAGGTACAAAGTGTTTATGGATGTTATTTCTTGTTTCTCTACCTAGTATGGATCCTGAATGATCAGGGGGAATTCTAATAAAAGGTTATAAAAACATGAATCCGATTGGTAAGTGCAGAGTACAGTAGGCTGTATTTATCATTTTCTTTTTGCATTGGCCACACTTGGAGTTTGTGATCCATGGCGGACAGCATTGCCCTAGGTTATAAAACCAAGCGTGTCTCTTTGTTGTCCTTTATTTCATAAAGCTGTCAACGCCAGCAATCAAAATAGCATAATGTAAGTTTATTTTATATAATATATTAATCAGGGATCAACTACATCTTTTTATACAACCATATAAGAAATCCATAAAACATAAATATACATTCCAAAATAGTTATATTTAATATTTACAAGTATCTTCATAAGCACAATGTTTACGCTATGCAGACGTCAGCTTGCGGCCAGCCTTGGTTTCGACTTCCTACTGCCCGCACTTAGACTGCCACAGGTGCCATGGTTTAATGAACTTCCCTGCAGAGAAAAGAGGAGACCATTAAACTTTCTCAATAATTTTCCAGGCTCTCTAAAACTTTCCAATTATTTTCAGCTAAGATAGAGTGCTGTTACACACTATTGTTATGTATTTATGGCTATCTCTGTTATTGCTGCTGAATTCTATATAATAAGAATTATTCTATGAATACTAGCAGAATGGACAATAAGTTATTCATCTTTTAGACACATTTAAACCTATAAACAAAATAATGCATATACTCGTCTTTAACCTTTTTGGATTAAAAGAAAAGTTCCATTTAATGGAGTGTCACCCATGTGGACAATTACGGACATTTTAATCGTGCTATGAAAGGTACGCTTTTCTCTTCTCCACACCAATTCTCCAATGTTGTTGCTTTTAACCTATTTTCGGTTTATTTACAGAATAACAGGAAATTTAATTTCTCCATCTCTTTAAAACAGCCACGTCCATAACCCTAAAACATTAAAATCCCCTGCTCCTCAATCCATGGGAGAATGACTGTCCAGGGTCTAGGACAGGCATAGGCAACCTTCAGCACTGCATATGATTTGGACTACACATCCCATGATTCTTTGCAGCATTATGGGTTTAAGAGCATTATGGGGGATGTAGTCCACAACATCTGGAGTGCCGAAGGTTGCCTACCCCTGGTCTAGGACATGGGTAGGCAATCAGCATCTGTCACGCCAAATGTTGTGGACTACACCACCTATAATGCTCTTACAGCCATAGTATGGCAAAGCATCACGTGAGATGTATTCTAAAACATCTAAGTTGCCCACCCCTGGTCTTGGAAATTTAAACTAGCGAGAAACTAATAGTCTCTATTCAGGACAGGTATGATTTGGTCCTATGTGTTTGAAAAAAAAATACTTTTCTGCCGTTTAATTTTGCATTGAATGACTTTCTGTACCTTTGCAGAAATGTATTTAGAATTAATTGAAACTTGAATTGACAGACAAACCATACGGTAACATTTGGTATGGCACCAAAAAATGCTTTAATTCCTAAATGGCAGAGAATTGAGCAACAAGATTTCAGGGGCATGACCTGTACACCCTAACTGCTTCATTAAGCTAAAGTTGTTTTGGTGACTATAGTGTCCCTTTAATAGAGCATTACACGTCTTAAGGAAAATGTGCTGCTAATTATGCTTAGTTGTTTTTTCAAAGTATTCCAGAAACAGAGCCATTTCCTTTTTAAAACATGGTGTTTTAGCAAAAAGTGCTTCTCTTTTTCGTGCCTTTCATTGCATCATGTGCACTTAGTCACCACAAGTCAAAGTGTTCTCACATTATCTACATGGTTCAATATTTTGGCCAATCAGTTTTCAATGGTAAGGAAAAGTTTGGGATACTTGCAAAATTATGTATAAAGTACAGCAAAACACATCTGACTAATTATGTTTTATGTTGTTATATAACATAATATGCTATGAGGATGCTACATATATAGAATGCTACGAGGATGACATTATATTAGATTGTTACTGGGGATTGCTCCACTACAGCTATCTATTCTGTCTGAAATTGGCTGGCTCAGAATAATTTGAGTTTGCATTTATTTTGTCTTAGCAATATCAAGCTACAGGGATGGTATGTTTTCTTTGTTTTATATTAATCGTGACAGTTCTGGGTATGTACATCAATTCATTTAGGAGATTTCTGCTAGGAAAGAATATAGCTCCAAGGTCACTACTTGAGCACTGACTGACCCTCACGGAAATCAGACGTCTTAGGGTGTCTTTCACCATAAGTCTATTTCACTACTATTTTCTGTATTTGGTTATGTCTTAATACAGATGGAACATCTGAATCAAGGGAGGCTCGTCCATTTGGGCACTTGGTGCCCCACCAGTTTGTTTGTGGGAAAAAATGATTTGCAGTCGTTTAGAAACACAAGGAAAGTGTCTCTTTAATTCTGTAATAGGCTTTAGTTCTGCAGGGACCCCCTCCCTTATTGGTAGCTGTTTATAGAAGCTTACTTGTCTAAAATGGGGTTGGTTTGAAATCTGCTCTGTTTCAGCAGGTTTTGCTCATGCCTAGTGTCCTTTAACCCCTTAAGGACCAAACCTCTGGAATAAAAGGGAATCATAACATGTCACACATGTCATGTCTCCTTAAGGGGTTAAAAGGGAATTCCAGGAATTTCCATTGAGTTGCCATTGGGACCACAGAGCCAGCTGCCCATGAGAAGTAGTACAAGAAGAGCACAGCAGCTCTTGGCCCAAATGTAAGTGTATTATATTAACTTTTCTCTCCCCCAATAGCTTTAGTGAGATAAAATGCAGATACAGAGACATACAGAAATTAGCACTAACACATATAGATACACAGATACACATGCTGCCACACAGACACACAAAAGCAAGCACTGACACACATCTAGATACACAAAGGCACAGAATCAAACACGGATAAACATCTAGATAGACAACACACATTGAAGCAAACACTTAATCACATCTAGATACACAAACACTGACAAACATCTAGAAACAGATACACTGACACACACAGAGACACAGACACAAACACTGACACACATACAAACACTGCCATATATGTAGATTCACATACACACAGAAGCAAACACTGACACACATCTTGAAATACAGATACACACAAACACTGACAAAGCATATTGTTTGATTATTAATATTTGGAAATCTTTGTGTATCTTTGACACGAATGATTGAAACATGCTCAGTAAACACAAATAAAGAAACCATGATACCTCAATCTTTCAAATTTTAATTTATGTGCACAGTCAGTTTTTATTTGTTCAATAAATGGGTACCTGACAGCCTGAGCCAATTAACAGATTTCTTTATCTTGCCTGCACTGTATTAAGAGATGAATAGCTCTGAAGGCCTTCGTGACTAAAAAAGAAATAAGAAAAATAATATATATATAAAGTTATACATTCAGCAGACTGCAGTTTACTTAATCTTTTTATGTGTAAAACGTGGTTACTTTTTAGGCTGCTTTTCTTATTTGTGCAGGTTTATTACATTATTTGCACAAAAATATTCCTTATGCCTTCATACTGCAGTTCTTGCATCATTTAGGATCTTTGCAGAATACCAAATAATGTAACCAACCTACTATACACCACCCAAGTTTAGTATTCTAAGTAGGGGAACCCCACATCAGGTTCCAATTTAGGGGATCCATCTATTAAGCAAATGAAAGAGAACAAATAATGAAAGCCCTGATTCTTAAATCTGCTCTTTCAGTTGTTTAGGAGAGAAGTCCCTAATTTGGTACTATTAATTATGGCAATCCCACATAAGGATATGATACTAAATTATAGAGCTATCTACTAAATAGCTGAAAGAGTAAAATGACGCAAACATTTTCTTAATGTTGTTATTTTTTGTGCTGGCAAATTTGGAATCTCACAAATTCCAAAATTCAGACGTAATTCGGTTTGTTCGATAACGAATGCCTGTATCTATTGTACAATGGATAAACAAGACAAACATTTAACTCAAACAAAACATACAGGAAAAGTAAGTGAAGAGTATCTGATTTTTACCAGAATTATTGACATCAGTTGCAGTGAATTCAATAAGCACTAAATATGTCTGCTGCCAAAGCAATCTGTACTATCATTAATTACCATCACAAATTCTCTAAAATAACACATTATTTAATTTACTTGTTTTTTGTTTAAGGCAGGATCCACATAATATAAATATTGCCACTTTATTCAATATAGGAAAAATGACACAAACCTGAATTTGAAGTCATTGGGGAGACTGTACCCCATTTGGTATTCACTTCTAGTTTGAGCTATTTGCTTGTGAAGATCTTTGAGTGATCGGCCATAACCATTAAAAATGTAGTTTGCAAATAATAGCTTTCCACGAACATACATCTGTTAATAGAAACACATTAGCTGCATTATAGAGGCCAAATCATTCATCGTCTGACATTTCTGAATACAATTTCTCACTTTACTTTAACCCATTAAGGACCAAACTTCTGGAATAAAAGGGTATCATGACATGTCACACATGTCATGTGTCATTTAGGGGTTAAAGGGACACTCCAGACCCCTAAAGCACTTTAGCTTGCTGAAAAGCTTTATATGTGAAGAATATGTCCTCTTTTTTTCAATTTGGAAATAGTGTCGATTTCATTAAAAAGTTTACCCTTTTATAAATTATATTGGTTACACCCCCTGGCTTTCGAGCAGACATTGGGTCCTGTTACTTCCTGGTTTGGCTAGCTTATTCAATTTAAGAGGCCGCAATTGCCCAGAGCACCTGCTTTGCAAAGATTTCTAATTGAGCTACATTGGGAGTCTGTGATTAGACAGCCACAGAAAGTTTGGGCGGGGTTAGAAGAGGAGGGCTTGCAAACGCAGCAGACAAGAGAACTGCATTTTTTGCAAGCTGATTTTAGATATAACTCCAATGCACAATTAAATGCACAGATGTTTTCATTTTGAGGTATATCTACTAAGTAGTGATTTTAATTTATTTTGTATTTGGGGAGTAGAGTGTCCCTTTAACTGAGCATCTATTCCATAACTAGGATTGGCAGAAAACATCAGGAGTCCCTCATCATGAGTTTGATGCTGTCTGACATCATGCATTTTACAAGCTAAGAATAATAATAATAATAAAAAAATATATAATAAAATATGTATAGATACAGCTGTATACAATGCTTGCCTTTTATAAAGGGCAATTTCATGCTTCTTATTAGAAGATGAAAACCAGGAATGAAAGAAAAGTAAGAGAGGCTACAGATTAATAAAAATATATGTATTCCATGTGTTTGACTTTTTCTTAATTTTATCTCTGATATTCGAGTGCAGTGAACTTTTTCTATGTTGATGTTGTTACGACATATAAAATAAATCGTGTTTACCCTGCATATTTTCTATACAGTTTACTGAATCTCGGATCTGCTCACATCTAGCTCTAATCACACATATCACAATTGGGTTAAACCGCTGCCTATAAGCATTCAGTGGAGATGCCTATGAAAATGTGACATTTATAATGTTACATTGGGGTAGAGAGTTATTCATTAAATGCGGAATTGTAGCAAACTGAAAACCTAATAACAAATATTTATCCATATTGGCACCAAAGGAACACTATATCATTAAGGGTATAAACCTGCATTTCTAATACTATACTAACCCTGTCTGTATGTACGTCCCATTTGCCATAAAATAACTGACTTACGGTTACCCTTTTTGCCTCTTGCGAAGGTCATCGCCGAGGTTAGGCCTCCTCCAGCAATGGTTCAATACAATGCTCCCCAGAGAGGAACATTGGGGACCTGATGCGTAAACTTGGCGCATGTCTCATGTATATCAGTAAGACAGCGACTAGTGGTGTCTTTAATTTCTAGAATGGAAACTTTCCCATATCTACAAAATTGCAATGTGTTACATTGTCGGGGTACAATAACCACTGCACCCAGACACTACGTTGAGATAACGTTGGCTGGGAAACTGTAGTGGTCCTTTAATCTTCACCACTGAAACATATGGAATTATTTCTTATCTTTTGGTAAATAGTCAAGATTTTACATTTTATTTTTAACATTCCAAAAAAGTTGAGCTGTCAATGGGCGACCTGTACTAAAATAGAATACAGAAGACTTTTGATACTTAAAATTTCTGTACAAGAATATCAATACTTCTGCAACATTTTTGAGGGCCCCTAGATTACAGCATATGTAGTGATTGCAGGTTAATGCTCCATTCTCATTCAGAAGAAAAACTTTCACTGGTCAGCTGGCTGTACATAAGAGGCTTTTCCCCCACAGGTGTTGCAAATCCAGACAAGATCTAGCACAGCAGATGGATAAATCAGCATAGAAGGGAAGGATGAGGATTTCCCAGAGAAAGTGTCTGTTTAAAGGTCTAAGCCAGGCGAACGTAGAAAATAGACTCAAGGACTGGGGAAGCTACAGATAAGTCTGCCACATGTAGCTGGATGTCACTGATACCATTTCATTTATTTATTTCATTTATATACTACCATACTAAAGGGATCGTCTGCCTCCCCCACCAAAAGCTCAATGCCATCAAGTCGTACCTGCTGTCAGGAAGCGAAGTGAAGCTGCCTGCTAATCTCGTGGGTGACCTCCCAACCAGGTATTGATTAATTGTTTCAATAAAGAAAACAGACAAAGAATTCTCCAAAAGAACGAAGCTCCTGTAGGAAGTGACCCTCCAGCATGGCAGTCAGCCTCCCCAATAATGTATTTTATGTATAATACACAGTACATGAAACAAGCACCAATACATGATGCAGACAGTGCAAACCTTTTACTTGTTGAGACTGTGAAGCAGAGGCTTTCAGTTCTGCAGAATCCCAGTGCAACCAATTGCCACAACTTGATCACCTTGAGAAACACTTCTCTAAAATAGTATTTCTTAAAGGAACACTCCTAGTCAATAATAACTCCATCTCTATATAGTTGTTATGGAGGCAGAAGTAATTGGGTTCCACTTTACCTCCCTCCAGTGGTTCAATCATTTTCAAATGGTTTAACTCGAAACTGGCCTCTCAGCACCCAGCAACTCTATTTCTTCTGTTGTAACTCTGGCTGCCATACAGTAAACAAAGATTGGCCTTGGCAGCCAGTGATAAGCTGATGCTAGCTGGCAACCCCTTCAGAGTATCAGCATGCACTACAACTCAAAGATAGGCCAAGACAAGAGTTTCACTGGCCACCACGGAAAACCTTCCTGGAGGTGGCAGCCACCAGAGGAAGCGACAGGGCTAGGCTGTCTGAAGATGAGACTATGCCTATTAAATCCAGCCCCATAACAATTTCATCGAGGGGTTACTTTAATCTCCTCATAGACTGTAAGCTTGAGGGCCTTCTTCACCTCTTGTCTACTTTATATTGTGTATGTTAATTACTTGTTGTCAAGTATCCCCATTTTAGAATTCTAAGAGCTAATTATAAGAGATGCGGAAAATGTTGGTGCTATATAAATTACAATAATAATAATTCTACTCTTCGGAAAACATTGGATTATCTCAAAGATTGATAGCGACATAACATACACTGAGAAACAGTGGAGTTAATCTGCTAAACTAGGGGTAGCAACCTTCGGCACTCCAGATGTTGTGGACTACATCTCCCCTGATGCTTTGCTAACATTATGGATGTAAGAGCTTTATAGGAGATGAACAGCTGCGCTGCCAATGGTTGCCCCTGCATTAAACTGAGCATTGTGGAGAATTGACAAAGGAACATCACATTTTAAGTACAGATGGGATAAGCAGAAAAAAGTTAAGTTGGGGAATTTTTAATCTTCGGACAGATTTCTGCAATTCCTGTGTCTATTCTCCCGAATCCTAGATTTAGTAACAACACCCACTGTATTGGAACATGGCTCTATCATTGTGTGAGGAAGGTAAATCAGTGCTCGAAAAAGCACGTTGCAATTCCCGATTGCAGCTAAAATTAAACTTCATTCTAAAATTCCCCTGAATGCAGCAAACATTGTCAAATCTATTCCTGGTGGTCTAGAGACAAATGTTTGGACATTGACTGGAGTGTATATTTATTCATGTAGCAGGAAGCACATGCAACGATCAGAGAAAAATAGCGGTCTCTTGGGGACAAATATCCTCACTAGCCCTGTGTAAAGTTGTTTGTTTCAAACACAGACAACAGAAATGTCTTTAGTGCCAAGAAAGTGACATCGTAAGCAGGTTCCTAGGTTAACAGTGGGATGTCCTAGCAGCCCCATCTCAAAGAGAACATTTAGCTAAATTAAGATGGATTTTTACGCCAGAAATGCTTTCTTCCAAATAATGTAAAATGGTGCATATTCTGTATGAGCCATCAGCCAAAATTTAAAGGGACACACAAAGCACCAACACAACTTCATCTTAATGATCTTACAGTGATCCTGTTTGTTAAATCCCACAATATAAATCATCATTGCGGTTTCAGAGATGCAGCAATGTGCGGGGATAACTACACCTCCAGCCGCTGTCACCAGGAGATGATCATTAGATCCCAAATTTAATAAAATTGTCACTTCGCTGGATATTGGAAGAATCAAGAAGTGAGCGCTATAATAATCAGAAACCTTAAGCACATTTAGAAACATAGAAACATAGAATGTGACGGCAGATAAGAACCATTCGGCCCATCTAGTCTGAGCAATTTTCTAAATACTTTCATTAGTCCCTGGCCTTATCTTATAGTTAGGATAGCATTATGCCTATCCCACGCATGCTTAAACTCCTTTACTGTGTTAACCTCTACCACTTCAGCTGGAAGGCTATTCCATGCATCCACTACCCTATCAGTAAAGTAATACTTCCCGATATTATTTTTTAAACCTTTGTCCATTTTAAACATTTCTTTTTATATGTAGCTTTCAAAACATACTCAGCTCTCATATCTATTGACAATCCATCACATGTATGCTGAGCATGTAGCTCTGAATGTATACAGAGTATTTTTAATTCTAATGCTGAGCACAATCTATCACTGCCAGCAGACTGAGATTCCAGCATAACAGTGCCACCAAGTGGTCAAAATAAGCAAGTGCTCCCTTAACTAATGGCAGAGCAAATATCCTCTATGCAGACTATGCAATATAATTATTATTCTGTCTGAATTAGAAAAAGAAACAATAGCAGTTAGAGTCACTGCTAATTTCAAATCATAATGCCCAAATTGTGTCACGTGCAAAACTAACTACATGGTAATCATAAAACTGAATAAACTAACTATCAAAGTATTACTCAACGTACAAACCAAAACTGCCGCTAAGAAGTTATTCAGTTGTGTAATATATAAATAAAAAAAATATTGTGCATGTCATGATCTGCATTTTCACAGGATACACATATGTGAACTGCATTACTATCTATATAGCATTTTCTAAAACAGTGTCTTCTAATCAATATCTTGGATGGGCTTCAATAAGAGAAGAGGAGAATTTGAGATGAATACACATTAGAACTGTACAGTCATTTTTTAAAGAAAAGGGATTTTGCAGCATCCCAGATGCTTTAAAAATTGACAGGCTTTAGGGGGCTCTCTTGCCTTATGCATGGCATTATCTTTTGGCCACTACGAAGCTTAAAGGAAAACTTTATGGGCCCACCTGGGTTCGTGGATATTATCCGCTGCAAACACTCTCTCCAGATAATATTTGATTGTTTTGATAGAACGGGGTCTGTAGAGCTGTGTGCAATATTGTGCGACCCTGCAACTGCCTTATTGTGTTTGTTTTTTGTTCTCCGTAATAAGCTTTGGGAATTGTTCTTCTATGATGGAATATAACTAATGTCATTAGTAATTTATAGAAGAAATGGATGGACGGACTGACGAAACAGTGCCTAGTGCAGGCTAATGTCAAATTTGTTTAACTTTCAGTGCACAGAATGACAGTCATTTGCCCTTTAAGAATGTGGTGTTATATTTGTTTAATGTTTTAAGGTAATCAAACTATTAAATGGCATACCGTTGCAAACACACCTAAGAATTCAGCTTAAAATATTTTTAGAGGTTTACCATAACTCTTTTGAGGGAGTACTATGCCATACTGGTGCTATGGGGAAGGTTCCCCCTCTCTATTTCCAGTAAAACCTGTATATAAAAGGTTTTACTTATTTTGAATCCAGCACCGAGCAAGGCTTCCAGCCCTGATCTTCCAAGCCCCCTACAACATTATTAGTGCAACCACGCAGCTCAATCACTGACTTGTCAAAGGGAAGCCTGTGATTGGACAATTTGTCAGCTCAGAGCGCAGAATATTTCAGCTCAGATTTTGACATTTGTTTAATGCGCAGTGGAAACTAACCCCCGGCAAACAATTAACAATATCACTACACATACTCACTCCTACCACCATAACCACTACATATCACTGAAATGGTCATGGTTATTGGAGTAACCCTTTAACATCAATTGATTCAATATCACAATATATTATTTTTATATTTATACCAGAATTCTACATACCAAGATCATGCCTGGGGCTGCATTGTGCCTTTGGACCAGTAATGAATTCTTGTGACCAGTGAGTTCATTCGGTGAGCTGATATCATATTTTAAAAGGCGGAAAGAGTCCGTTCGACCCTGCAGTGACATAATATCATACATTATTATTCCTAAAATTAACATGATAATGTTTTTTAAAAAGTGTTATCTCAAAACATACTGTCTGACAGTACACAACTACCTCTACAATCCGGGTCTAGACAAGGTTTTAGTGTTAAATCATACTAAAATCATAATTGATATAATCTACTACTACTACATAATATTTCGTGTTTTACCTAGTCCTGGGGCGAGTAATATTTTTTATACTTTTTTTTACTACTCACAACAGAAAAAAAGAGAGTTAATAATAAAATAGGTAGAACAAAAAAAATATTGCTACATCCAAGCTTGAACAGGTAAATCATTGGACCAATCAGGAAGGAGTACAGGTTATATAACAGGGAGGCTGAAGAATTCCTACCTCTTTCGTGCTGCAACAATAGTGAACATAAAATTTGAGAACATAAAGAAGATATTCCAAATATAACAGGAAATCAGAACAATGAAGCTTGAAATTCTTCCAGAATATTGTCGGCAGAAGAACAATTTTCCCTAGCACTGCCAAGAGTAGAGAAAAATAGGGATGGGTTAATGGATGTGATAATACTCCCCAGGGCTAGGAAAATCTTGAATTTTATCGCAGAGCCGTATATGTTTGGGCATGAATCTCATTCTCATGGAACTGAAATCGGACACAGAAACTCCCAAACGCTGCTGGACTTCCAGCATCGCCTGCGTTCGGTTCTACACAACTTAGAAGGGCACTGTTCACTGGAAACGTTTCCACGAACAAGGTGAATAAGCTCCAGGGTAAGACTATTGACTATGTTCGGTAGTTTGTTCAGTTTTAAACTACCGAACCTGACCGATCGTTAAGAAATGTCCAACAATGCGGAGAAGGAAAACCTTTCAACAGAGTTGAAGTGGTTGTGGGATACTGAGGGCATAACCCAAAATTGATAAGAAAAGGAAAGGCTGGAAAAGGTAAGCTAAGCAGGCGAACCCAATAACAGACTTAGTATCCTCAGAAAAGATGCTCAATATTCGGCTAGAAATACCTATTTTAAAGAGCAAAAAAAGAACTATAATTTTATTAAATCCCTAATGAGGAAACGAACAAAAAAAAAAGGGGTTTGAGTTAACAGTGTGAATACAGTGTGGAGAGAAAGAAACCAATAAAGGTAGTGATTAAAATAGGACTAGCTGCTTAGATTAGTATCCATGATAATTAGGTACAGGTGTGCTGAATACAATGTTGCAAAGTGTTCGTTTCAATTGTAACAGCTATTTTGTCTGAGTCTGGGTATATCGAATAGGTATACTATTAGATATTGTCCAAATGAAAATAGGATAGAGATCCCCCTTAATGAGAGGTTATGGATACCTATGAATAAGGGTGTTCCTAGTAGCATATATAAGTATGGACATCTGTATACCTGATGGTAACCAATGAGTACGTAAGTAAATAGATAAAAAGGGATAATTGGGGAGTAATAGCAGCGAAACCCAGATTGGATACCTTTCACGGATCGTTAGCACTGATTTCATGGAACTGTTTTGGGCATAGGACCAAGTGCACGGTCAGGCAAAATTATGCCTTCCATGGAAATCCCGAACCCCTGAACCGATCTGGGTGATTTTTGGATATGTTGGACCCCCAGATCGGGGCTATCAGGTGATGTGAGGTGGGGGGTGATTTTTGGGGTTTGTTAAAATTGCATGTTTTTGTACCTGAGAGATAATTTAATTATATGTTTGTGTGCTCAGGTAATTCTCTCTCAGGCACATGGGAGGAGTGTGTGGAATGTTTGTTTGTAATTAGTCTCCTCTCAGGTCCAGTGGGGAATGCCCCTGGAATGTGATTAAGGAAACCCCTTTGCATGAGGAGTTACATAAAAGTCAGTGTGTGGCTCCCATTAAACTAGATGACTTCCCAGCATAGAGCCTCATCTCATGTGTGGGGGGGATTTCTATAATATCACTAGGTCTTGTAAGAGCTAGAGGTACTCAGTCGGGGGGGGTCAAGCGGTCCGCCACACCAAGGATCTGGTCTTATCATATCCCAAATATGGGGGAAAAAATGGAAAGCCTGTCTCCTAATTTTATGTTGGAAGAATTGAAAATTTGTAAATACATCTGATGAAGCAAGTAAATTGACCTCAAGGTTTCCATTGCCTCCCTCTGGAGGAAAAAAATGGAGAAAGTGTGGAAAGTGCCTTTGGAATATTGTCTATTATGGGAACTATGACTGCTTAAGCAACCTTTCTCAGTCTCTCCAAAAACCTTTGGATAAAAAAAAAAAAACTTTTTCATAGAAGTTTGTCTAGAGATGAGAAAATACTAAAGTTTTTAATGTATTTCTTTTATGAATACTTTCCCAAATAAAAGGCCATCTGCGGAAGGACCTGGATCATTGTTGGCAATTTTGGCCATTGGGGGTCCATTCGCATGATGATTGATCTATGTGTTCACAGGATAAAGCCAAATTTCCAGAGAGCAATATATCTAATAATTTATCTTGACAAGATCTCATTGATCTGTCTAATCTTTTCTTGGAACTCTTCGATGATTTACATAATTGAACAATGATGGGATACAAATCAGGGATCATGGATACCTTGTTGTTTTATCCAAAGACTTTCTCAGCCAAATTTCTAGGTATTGTGATATATGGGTAGCTGGAACCCATCCACCAGATCGGGATGTTTGATGTGCCCAGGATCAAAAAAGGGTTGGCCCTTAGCATCCAAACCAATAGATTCAAACTTATCTGAAATAATTGAAAACTCTTGGCCGACTGAAAATGAGTTAGAGCAAAATGTCTTCAACTGATTCGTAAAATCACCCAGTGTGAGGGAAAAATGTTGGAAACTACATAATGAAGGCAGGAACAGAGGGCAGAGATAGACACACTGGTCACGCACCGAAATTGCTGCTGCAAATGACATTTGACCAAGCAAACCACAACCGCAGAAGAGCAAAGGAGGACTTTGTGGAGGGGGAGAACAGAGGGTGACATCTTATGCAATGCTCGCATCCAAAATGAAGGCCTCGATTGGAGCTCGGTTAGGCAAAAGTTCAATGTATAAAAGTAAAGGAGTGCTAATAGCAGCCACAACGGGATGCACTCACGGTAGCAACTAAAATGGAATGCCCATCGCATTGACAGCTGGACCAAATGTGAATCACAGAAAAGAAAAGACTAAGTCAAATTCACTGTGACCAACAAGAGGTACAGCAAATAAAAATGTAAATATATATGAATATATCTACTGTCACAATTTCCATGTTTGCTGAAATGCTGCATGCAATTTAAACCAAATATTATAGAAACCAGGACTTATGTTAGAGGGTAAGTCATGTAGAATACTTAACTGTATGAAGCAGCAGAAAGAGCAGGGATTTTTTCAGGCTTCCTGTTATATAAGCTGTGCTCCTTTCTGATTGGTCCAATGATTTACCTGTTCAAGTTTGGTTGTAGCACTATTTTGTTTTGTTAATTCTACCTATCTTATTGTTAAGCTATTTTTGCTGCTTCGAGTAGTATAGAAAGTATAAAACATAATATGAGCCTCCTGTCTGTAATAACATTTAGGTTAGCGTTAGTGTAAGTGTTAATGAATGTATTTTGCAGGGTTATATACTAAAGTGAGTATTATCGCAAATTCTAAGTGAATTTCAAATTTTAGGCCAAAGTAGCTCAACTGAGTTGAGAATTTTTCCACTTCAGCTATTTGACCTTAAATTTCAAATTAATTTTTAATTCTCGACAGTCCTCACTTTGGTAAATAACCTTGTTAGTTTTATGGTACTGTAGAGTTTAATGTGTAGGGTAGTGTGGTAGGGTCATATAGGGATTAAGGGGAGAACTTTACCGTAAAGGCAGCAATGGGATATACTATGACCCAATGGTGCCAGAGATTAGTGGGAGTTGCAGACCTGGGAGGCAGGTATTTCAACTGTCGTTATTAAAATGGCAGTAGATGCTGTTGGGGAATACATCTCCCATTAATCTCAGGCAGACCAGGATATGTATATCCCAATTCTGTCAAGAATAGGGACTGCAGTCAAAAGGTAAGTGATCCATGCATTATAACCTGTTCGTTATGGAGAATATTGCACAGATGTGTGTATCTTATAATAACTGCAAAGTACCTGCATACATGGCATGGTTCTGTAGCGGTTCATTTTCTCATACAGTTCGTCTAACACATCTTTGCTCTTGTTTTCTTCTGATGTTAATGATGACACAACACACACAACTGTGATTTGATCAGTGCATGACGTCTTGTTTATCAGTTTGTCATATTCCAAGTCGGTGACATAGGGAACCTGGTGGTTGCTGCATCTGCACATCTGGCCTTCTTGACCCAAGAGGATGTTTTGTAGGACAACAGGACATGCATGACAGGTCATGTGCCACGGGTTCTCAGAGTTTTGTTCAACAGATAGCAGAGGTCCAGGGGTGACTGTAGGCAACCTATAAGTACAAAAAGGTTAATACACAAAGTACCTTAAAAAAAAATAAAAAAATTCTAAAGTATCATTTGCTTTGTGATTCATACAATTTCATGGGGTTATTTAGTAAACCTGTGAAATGTTGACAAATGGAAATTTAAATGGAAATTTAAAGCTAAAATAGCTGAACAAGAAAAAACAGGAGCACTCCATGTGGCGGCTGGAGGAGCTCTTTAACTGCTTCTGGGCCTCCTTGGAGGCATATCAGAAAGCCACGTTGCCCTTAGCTTGGGAGAGCAAGGTCCGGATGATGACGAGGTCTCCTTCAGGCAATTATTCCTTCCCAGCACAAGCACCCACGACTACTAGCCCACTTAGACCAAGGGCCAAAGCAGGCAAGACCCAGCGCCATCACCCAAACAAACAGAGGACTAATCGCTACCAACAGAGACGTCCTGCCAAATCCTTCTGTTTCCCCCTTCAGGGAAGGGCTTTAACTCTATGAGCCCCGAGTCCGTGGCTTGAAGATGCTGGCCTGCGATCGGGCCTGGGACTGGATGTGTGTATGGGGTGGCAGTGTGTGAATGTGTATGGTATGTGTGGGGGCAGTGTGTGTATGGGGGGCAGTGTATGTGTGTGTGGGGCAATGTGTGAATGTGTTTGATGTATGGAGGGGCAGTATATATATGTGTGGGGGGCAGTGTGTGTGTGGGGTGGAGGGCAGTGTATATATGTGTGTGGGGGCAGTGTGTGTATGGGAGGGCAATGTATGTAGGGCCAGTGTATGTGTGTGTGTGGGGCAGTGTGTGTATGGGGGGGCAATGTGTGTGAATGTGTGATGAGGAGGGTAGGGAGGCTTTTTTATATAAAAACTAAAATTTAAATAAAAATAAATAAATGTATATTTCTCAAACCCTGGTGGTCCGGTGGAGAATCCCCGGTGGTCAGTGGTGTATCCTGGTTTTGTGCTGCCCTAGGCAGGACAAAACTCAGGCACCCCCCCCAACCCTCCCCCCCTCCACCTTCTAAATACACACACACAGTCAGACACAAACACACACACACACAGTCAGACACACACACACACACACACAGTCAGACACATACACATACACAGTCAGACACACACACACACAGTCAGACACACACAGTCAGACACACACACACAGTCACATTAACACTTTTTTTTTTAATTTAACCACCCCCCAGCCTCCTTACCATTGGGAATGCTGGAGGGGGGTTCTCCTTCACCCTGGGGGTCCAGTTGCTGCCGGTTAGGCTGATGGACTGCTGGGCAAGCGGCTGGCGAGGGAGCACTTCCTCTGAGTGGTCTGCTCATCTCCCTCGCGTGCAGCAGGGTGAGGCTGGGAACCGGAATATGACGTCATCAACCCGGCTCCCAGCCTCACTCTGCGGCGCGCGAGGGAGCTGAGCAGACCGCTCAGAGGAAGTGCTCCCTCGCCAGCCGCCCGCCCAGCCCAGCATTTCAGTTAGCCGCAAGGCTAACAAGGCATTTGTCCTGGGCATTTGGGGGGTGGCTTTTTTTGCCGCCCCCTGAAAAATGCCGCCCAAGGCAAATGCCTTGTTTGCCTCGCGGCTAATACGTCCCTGCCGGTGGTCCCAGTGGTAAGAGTGAACTCTAGCCCGCGAGAGGAGGACCCGGAGGAGCTGCAGGCTGAACTCCCAGGTCCTCTTTCCCTCCCTCCCCTGCCGGTTGCCCGCACAGTGCCTGCGGACCGTGGAGGGAGATCTCTGATCTCCCCTCCGGTCTGTGAAGGCACATTGCAGGGCTGGTGCTTGGATAGTACAAGCCCTGCATTAGCCGGCAGGGGAGAACCTCGGGGGGCTATTGCCCCATTGCCCGTTGCCCCCCCCCCGGATCCCCAGTGGTCTAGTTATACCAAACTGTATGTTTACTAATCTCTGTCTCCAGATTAGACATGCTTGACATCTTGTGTACATTTATTATTATTTTTGTTAATTTTATTTATCTAAAAAAGAGGCTTGTCTAATCTTTTAGTGAGCACAAAATAAAATATGCATTCAATTAAACAAATATTGACTAAAAAAGAAAAAACTGGAGAATATATTCAATTCAGCTTTATGTCCTAACATTTCCAGTACCTTAATTATAACTAAAGTACTGGAGAAATCTCTCAGTTTGGAAGTAGACTTGTCTACTATTAACGTTTGGAGGTGCTTTGATCATCTATCGGTCTTTGTTAATTTAAATTTCATTATTTAGCTTTCATACAATTATATACAGGATGGGGATTTGAGCCCTCTAGACTGTAAGCTAATTTGAGCAGGGTCCTCTTCATTATATTGCTCCTGTACGTTTTTGTACTTGTATCCATTATTGTTAAATCTCCCCCATTTATAATATTGTAAAGCGCTACGGAATATGCTGGCGCTATATAAATACCAATAATAATTAGAAAATATCTATAGTTTGTAAATGTTACCTTGATTTATTGATGATTGGTAAATTAGATACACTCTTACTGAGACTGGATTCTGTAATGGTTCGTTCTTTTTTTAAACTTCGAAGAGAAGAAGGTCTGCAAATAATGACAATAAGAAAGTAAATCTCTGAGAAATGTATTCACATTCTTGAAAATATATATGAAGAAATAGCTGCTTGATGTATAACTATTCTGACTCAAATTTTAAGTTCCATGGTCTGGATTTGTTAAATGTAGTATGATTTCATTATCAAACCACTGTCCCATATTCTTTGTTAAAACACATTAGCATAACTCCCAACATTTCAAATGGTCAAAGAGGGCAGGGCTGTCTGGGAAATTTTAACTGACTTACTAATAACAATTTATGCAACTGAAATGTAATTTGGAACAAGAAAATTGTATCTTATTTACACTGATTGATTTCTAAACACATTTACTGTAGTTTAAAGATACATTTCTGCATACCTTCCCCTTTTGGCAGTCCAGGAATCAGAAAGTCAATGGCAAGGGGTAAAATAAGTGGGTCAGTGATGTAATTTTGTTATTAGCTCCACTCAAAAGGGGGCAAACATGTTACTGGCAGATTAGCCTGGTGTCAGGGCCGGTGCGTCCTATAGGCTACTTAGGCTCCCTCCTGCTAGTCACTCAGTGTAGCATGGCCGGTCCGCACGGACCACAGTACAGGAGCTTCCTGTACCCAGTCAGACTGAAAGGAAGTGCTCTCTCAGTAAGCACTTCCTGTCAGTCCGGCCGGGTATGGGAAACAAAAGCTACTGTACCGCGGCAAAGAGGTAGGAGGCACAACAGGGAAGGGATGGGAGATGGCACTAAGGGACACTGGGGGGAATAGACCACAAAGGGACACGGGGGGGGGGGAAAGACCACTAAGGGAAAGATAGAGGGAGGGGAAGACCAATAAGGGAAAGATGGAGGGGGGGGAGAGACCACTAAAGGACACCGGGGGGGAGGAGAGGCCACTAAGGGAAAGGTGGGGGGAGGAGAGACCACTAAAGAAACGATGGTGGTGGGGGAGAAGAGACCACTAAGGGACACTGGGGAGGGAAAGACCACTAAGGGAAAGATGGAGGGGAGTAAGGAGGAGAGACCACTAAGGGAAAGATGGGGGGGAGGGCAGAGGCCACTAAGGGAAAGGAGGGGGGGGAGAGGCCTGGGGCGGCAAAAATCCTTGCACCGGCCCTGCCTGGTGTGAATATACGAATTTTCACACCAGGCTGACTGTCAACCTTGCAAGGCCAACCATTTCAGCACAAAGACAGCCCATTATGAATTATGATTGCAGTTGAAAACATGTAAATGGAAGGCCTTCATTCTATTAAAACCACAATACATAGCGTGATCAAAGTTTAACTCCTGCCTATTGAATGGAGACTTCACTGCACCAGTAAACTATTTGCATTGTGTCATTCTGCATATACACTGTGACATTTTAAGAGATTGGAGATTTGTCAATCTTTATTTGTTTCAGTGCTCACAATAACGACATGCTTGTTATGCCACAATAGCAGGAACAAGCCATCGTAAACACTGCGAAGTAAACAACAGTAACATGGCATATGCGTTAACAGCACATGTTTTAGATATGAGGAGCATGCTTAAATCATATATACGTCAATAGATATGCAATCTTGGGTAACAGTGAAAATAAGCTTTACTATTTGACAGTATGGCTTATCTAAAAAGGGGGAATTAATAAAACATGCTTGTAAGTCATATGAACAAAGTAGGTTAACGTCCACTGGGGCTGGCCACTGGATATGGGCATGCAAAGCAGGTGGTATGAAACTTAGAGCTGGTGTGATTTGTACAAGAAGGTACGTTCCTCTAAAGTGTCACCCACTGGTATTGAGCCTCTAAAGCTTGCACTCTAGAGAGTATTAATGTGCTATACAAGGTTAAAAACAAAAGCATAGTGGATAAGTAAAAGAAATAATAAACATAAAGAACACAGATACATCAAATAAATGCCTAGGAAGCCCAGATAGGAGATAAATTGCATCCATAGAAAAATAGGGCTATCTAAACAGGTGAGAACTCTTTCATCCGATGCCAAGCATGGGAAAATGCAGTGACCTCTCATCTGATCCGACAAAGGTACCAACTCAGAGGAAGTGAGGCAGGGCTACCTTCCAAACCCAGGCCTGCACAGAGGCCGGCATCTTGGTACCACGGACTCTGTGTCTCTGGGAGTCCAAGTCCTTCCCACAATGGGGGTGACAGGAGACTGTGATTATTCAATGCCGCCTGTAGTGGATAGTCTTCCTTCTACATGGATGATGCTTTGGGGGGTTACCCTTGAAGGCCTTCAGCCTAGGTGGGTGCACCTTGCGGGATAGAGTTGGCTGTGCCCGGATTGGCCCCGCTCACCTCCAGTTCATAATTCCCACGGTTCTCTTCTTGTGGTGTAATCAGCATAACATGTTTCTCCAGGGTGTCCCAGAAGAGTGAGAATATTCCCTCCAGCCGTAGCACAGACTGTTCCAACTAGGAACAGCAATCTGTCTGGGACTTCTCAGAGGTAGGCTCATGAGGGAGAAGCGCAGCCACCATCTTGCCACTCTCGGTTGCGTCTTTCATGCAGGTTGCTATCTGGCTCTGGTTTCCACACAAGGACTAGTGGCCAGCCAGTGGGAAGAGATAACCCCCGCCAGTCCAAAGGGGGGGACGCGGGGTGTCATGCGAGTAGCTATGCATTGTGGGCCCCGTGTCGGGAGATCATCTGCCTCCCCCAACCACCAGACCCTCAGGCCTAGTAGGCCGTACAGTCGGAAGTAGTGGTGGTGAGTGCATGGCCGGACGATTATAAGCAGGTATTCTCGAAACCCCCCTCTGTTTAGCAACTGTCTGCTGCTTGTTCAGGGCTACTGCATGTAGAGTCTCAGGCAAAAAACAGAGTAAATTCAGCTCAGTTTAGCTGGAGGTGAGAGGAAACACGTCTGGCCATCTTAGCTGTCCTGCCCTGCCCCTCGAGATTGGGGATTTGGAGTATTCAAAATTAAAGAAATATCATAGAGGAGCTGTCCATCCATTACACATACCTCCTTTCAATTATTTCAACTTTACAGCTTCAAATTTAATAAGACTTCCTGTATCACACCATGGACATATTTATATTTGTGAAGGTTGGATAATACCATTCAGTAGCTGACATTTTGTAAAATATTCAGTTTTTTGGAAACTTTCTTATGTGCATTTCACACTAAGGCATGGTTGATGATAAGAAGTGTTTGTCCTTTCTATTTCTGAGTGTCCGTGGAACATGGGATGACCTAATATAGTTATTAAAATTTCCAACAAGCATATTATATCAATAGAATTGACTTTGTAATGTTTGCACACCCACTTTGGTGGTGTACATATAGAACGGGAGACAAGGAGACACAGAACATCAAAGGCAGAGCGTCTATGCACTCTGAATATCCTGCATATACCATCAGCTGTTGACCATTTTAACATTAATGACATTGTAAGAACTGGCTTTGAACTTGTGAAGCAGGAAAAATAAATCTGGTTTTCTAAGAAAAACCAGGGAAGTCTGATTGCGTTTATTTTAATGTGACACAGAAGAACATATTTATATGATACCATGCAAGCCTATCTTGTCAGAAAAAAGAAAATTATACAAACACACATATATATGAAAAAGTACCGGTATAACGTAGAATTATTTTTTGAAGATTTCATTTTTCTACACATATGCATTTTGATGATAAAAAAAACCCTTTAACATTGTAACATGTTCACTGTTTTAAGATCCTCCGTGGTTTGATTTGTTCACATACTGTTTCAATCCTGTTAGATGTTATATATCTTATAAGTTGATACTTTGTACCTTACTCTGTTCAAAAACTGACACACTGTACCCATGCTAAAAGTCAAAATAAAGACTGTCAAAAAAAAAAAAACCTTTAACGGGACAAGCGAAGCACAAAAAACACTATATCTATAGTGCGTTCAGACAGATGTAAACATTGCCAGTTATGAGAAAAGTCCATGTTTATATTTACCATTAAGTATGCCTCTAGTGACTGCCAATAAGAAAGACACTAGAGGCACTTTCTTATGAAGACTTTCAATTATTGAATTCCGTCATGTTTGACATCACCAAACACTGTGAAGGCTTCTTATAGAAAAGCTTTGGAATGAATGCTTCTCCGTGAGAAGCATCTGATTGGTAGACTGCAGCTTTGTCACATATGCGCCATGGAACCCCAATACCTCCCTATGGGCAGAGTTGGAATGGCCCAATATTATTGATCATGTTAATCTTACAGTGCGTGGAGTTGCTGCAGCACCAGGAATATTGCAGCATTGGATTAAATGTTAATTTCATGTATTTCAAAATTGGAGGCTTAATAATAATGTAAGTCTTTAACACACAAATTCATATTCAAGAAAGAGTTGGCGCCTAGATATGATACAGTCCAAACATGCCAAGACATTTCAGATTCCAGGATAAGGGATGTTCTCGCTGCTTTACAATGTGTAAAAATATTTTACCTATTTGTTACTTTTCTCTCTCTGTAAATTGTAACTTCTAGTAGACATCTCCTCCCACACAAACCCTTCTTGTGTTCATCTGTGGTACTCTGAATTGGAATACTAGTAGAATGTTGATATAGATTCAATATTTTCTATAAATATAATGGTCTGTATTTTATTCCTCTCTGTCATACCTGGGAGAAGTAGAGCTCCGAGGAGTATCACAACGCTTCATGTGGATATAAGCTGGAGCAGACCGAAAACGTTCTTGAAGAAGACTTTCTATACTCGTATCCTCTGTATCAGTCTGCTTGATGGTCCCCGGCTTTGGAGCAGATAATGTCACAGGGAACACAATGGCAGACTGAACTTTACGTCTTCTTGACATTTTTGGAGGAGCCTCGGACATCCTTTTTATATGAGGGGAGTCAATACCTACAAAAAAACAGCAATTCAGAAGATTAAAGATATAGCATAGATTGATTTACGTTTAGCTTGCTAATGAAGATGACACCAGAGTTCCACCATGTATCATGGTCTGGGGTTATAGTACATTGTACATTTAAGTGTTTTCTCAAGAATCTGCTTTTTATTTTTTACCCTTGAGATTCCATAAAGGCAATTAAAACAGCTTGCACAAAGTAACAGAAGAAAGGAATAAACATCTCAAGTTCACTGGAATAATCACAAACACCTACACAAGTGCAAGCAGTGACATTAGAATGATATAGCCTTTCGACATGGTATAGGATACATTTTTGTGCCTAATGCCTGATCATAGCTGCCACCCCTTACATATTTACAGACATCTGTATATTGCATAATAGAAAATCTTACCCAAAGCCAAGCGGTAATGGTCCATCCAGTCATCCACAATATTTCGCACTTTTCTCTGGATCTTGTGGAGCTCCGTAGCTGCACTGTAGTCGTTTAATGTGCTTATTTGATTTTCAGGAATTTCAAGCGTTTTTGCCAGCTGTGATAAAATGGTCTACATGAAAACAGAACATTATTAAACAAGTAAAGGGGCTGAATTTTGATGGGAAGGGAGGGGGTCAAAACACACCTTATTTTATTTATCAATGTCCATGCTCCTCATAAAAAACACATTTGCTCAAAATTGCAAACAAAAATTTTAACCCCATACAAATGTTTAATTAATCAGCTGCATTAAGCTGCAGATCCACTTCTTTGTTAATGTTGAACTCTTTCTAGAATGTAAGCTCTATTGAGCAGGGCCTCTTCTTGTGAGTCTAGCTCGTCTTGTTACAAATACATGGCTGTTAGTCCACCGATTGTATAGCGCCGCAGAATTTATTGGCACTTTATAATTAATAACAATTATAACAATGCACAGTGAAATGCTTCTCATAAAGGAGTACTGGATCAAATCCTACATGGGTTGCTATCTGTACTCTTGACCACTCCAATGCTTCTCATAATTAAATATTGGCGTGCTGTGGAGGACACTAGTGAGGAACAGTGCTGTTGCACCCCAATTCTAGCTGGATTAAACATACATACAGGAAGTGGGATAGGAGGCTGTCTGATTGACAGTTCAGTAGGGTAGGCCTACACAGAGAACACATCACCCGGCATCAGTTGGAATCTTGAATTCTGTATTCTAAATGTAAATTAAAGTAGACAACTCCTTTTTGGTGACAGTGTGTCCGTATCAGGGATTCTTACACAATTCTTAGGTGTAAAAGGTTTCCCTTTTAGTACAAGACATGTATAAAAGCTACCAATGAAGCATATCAATCTACAGTCTGATAGACCAGAGCAGGTTTAAAGATCCTAACTGTTTATGTGAACAGTACAAGAAACATTATCCTTAATATAATTGAACATTTTTCAATTACATGAATGGTTATCAGTATCAGTCCTTTCTCTGGTCACACAACCAGCCACACCTTTTAAAGTGAAAGCTTGTTCTTGGCCATTTGAGTGTTGAGAGAAATGACAGCACAGGATAACTTTACTACATAAACACCATCTTCAGAAATCTTGCAGATATTGAAGTGATTATGGAAATGAGCCCAGTCTCAGGTGTTGCTAGAGGATCTATGAATCTTTGAATGAATTAAGATTGTATATAAACCTATATTTATGAACTACACATCATGCTCTATTAAACCTACACCTGCTGTAAACCTGGCACCTCTAGCACAAACCCTAAAATTTCTGCTATGATGTTGTATTTGCCTGTGTGCGCCTGTGTGTGTCTGAGGTTGTCTGTGTTTGCCCATCTGTGTGTGTGTGTATATAGCTGTGTGTGTGTCTGTAAGTAAATGTTAATGTGCCAAGAGGCTTGTTAAGTGATGGAATGGGGGAAGGGGCCATCGGAGCACTTCAAAAAGGAGTCACCAATCATTTTTTGGGCTTGAGTCTTGGGTGTTTTTTTACCCTAGTAACACCCCTGACCATGCTGTATAATTAACACCAAATATGGTGCAATAATGTGGCACTAATTATTGAACTGGAGGTGTTATTTCTCAGGGCTAACAATGATAGGGTGCCTTTTTCAGGAACTTAATTCTGGTTTATTCAAGAGGTCAGCCCGCTCCAAGAATGCCCCTGTCCCTTTTTTATTGTAAGATAAAGCAACCACAAGCCATTTTCTTATTTTTTGTTCACAAAGTGTTCTCTTGTGTGCTCTCATTTTGTCCTCAGCATTGTGCCCGGTTTAACCACTTTAAATTATTTAGGATATGGCAACAGTTCAATTCGTATCCATGACCTTCATTAATAAATAATGTATTGAGTAAAAGCAAAGACAGTAATACTATTTACCATAGAGAGAGAGCATATCTACAGTGGCAAGGGTCATTTTGGGGTTATTCAATAAAATCTGAAAAATCCCTGAATTACCTTTATTGTGAGGTATTTTGGGGATCCTCCCTCCCCCCAAACTGCAATTCCAATTAGGAACAATTTAGAATCTGCTATACGTTTTATATAAAGGTTACAATTCCATACAAACATAGATATTGTGATATTTAACAAACAGAGCTGTAGCAGTTAGCACAGTTGGCGCTGTCTTCTGCAAAAGGCACATTTACGATACTCTCCAAAAAAACATATTGTCTAAATTATTTTTAATACTTCTGTGTTTTCCTTATAAAACAAAACTAGCTATTTTTTGGTTACAAACCAGATAATAGAATAAAAATAAATAAACAAATATATATATATATATAACAAAAAAGTGTATGGAATGTAATGGAAATCCTGTTTTTTTCTTACAGCTTTCTTTGGATTCTTTTTTGAGTCCTTTCCCTTTTTCTTGATACCCTTGCAAAGCTCTCTCGCTGTTCTTGAAGAAAAATGTTCATTAGTCAGCAGCAGCCCCTGATATAAAGAGAAACACAATGCTTTAAGATCTAGCAAGACGTATTTATGACATACATAGCTTATAGTACATTCATATCTTGCTCAGGCCTCAGCTGAGTAAATTGTACATCAACTTACCAGATCTTCAAGCTGCGGAGGGGGAACCTCAAGGAGGGGTGACAGAGATAAGCGCACAGTTTCATGCTGCCATTTGTAGATCAACGTAATAGCAAACTGACCCACAATCCTAACAGATATGTTTTCATTAACCTAAATAAAATGGAAATATTAGTGCATTTCTTCAAAATCAAAATGTTGCTTTCTATGTACTATACAACAAACTAAGTAACAAAACTATTTAAAAAGGTACAACTTTACTTTATACTTGCAATTTAAAGGGACACTATAGTCACCTGAACAACTTTAGCTTAATGAAGCAGTTTTGGTGTATATAACATGCCCCTGCAGTCTCACAGCTCAATTCTCTGCCATTTAGGAGTTAAATCCCTTTGTTTATGAACCCTAGTCACACCTCCCTGCATGTGACTTGCACAGCCTTCCATAAACACTTCCTGTAAAGAGAGCCCTATTTAGGCTTTCTTTATTGCAAGTTCTGTTTAATTAAGATTTTCTTATCCCCTGCTATGTTAATAGCTTGCTAGACCCTGCAAGAGCCTCCTGTATGTGATTAAAGTTCAATTTAGAGATTGAGATACAATTATTTAAGGTAAATTACATCTGTTTGAAAGTGAAACCATTTTTTTTTTTTTCATGCAGGCTCTGTCAGTCATAGGCAGGGGAGGTGTGGCTAGGGCTGCATAAACAGAAACAAAGTGATTTAACTCCTAAATGGCAGTGAAATTGCAGGGGAATGATCTATATACTAAAACTGCTTTATTTAGCTAAAGTAATTTAGGTGACTATAGTTTTCCTTTAAGTACTTTATTGAGGGAACATTTTTTTTCATATGAGGCTCATACTGAAACTACCTATGATGGCCCATCCGTGGCCACTCTGTCTTCTTTAGTTTTTATTGGGCAATTTGTTAAACCAGGCTATCTGCAGGACTTTCTATTCCTTTCTCCTTTTTCGATTTGACATAGATTTGTAGTACACTGTACAGCTGTCACTAGAGAGCCATCAGCTGTGCTACATACCCTATAATTCCTTGAGCACAGGAGCATTGATTGGAGAATTCCTTTTTCCCATTTAATTTTTTTTATCAACAGTATAGCATTATGTCTGGAATGTCCCTTTAAATAATAGAATTCAAGGTGATTTGCCTTTCTAGATGAGCAAAAATAAGCGATTCCAGACAAAATCTTTTTTTAAACTTGGCTATTTTGGCCTTTATTCAATAGTTGGGTTGTTAATGTTTCAAAAATTATGATTTAGCAAATAAAACATACTGATTATAGAACAATCCTACCATTCGCTTGTTACCTGCAATGTAATTGGATCGGATAACTTTCCTTTCCGAGGCCATTGCCATTCTTTCACTATTTCACCTTCTTTATCAGACATCACTCCACCTATCTGGTTATACTGCAGAGCAAACATTTTGCTGGCAAAACAGAAACAGAAGCAAAGTTAATTTAAAAAAATGAATGGAACAGTTTAGGCACCATAACAACTTCATCTACAGAAAGCTGCTATGGTGTCAGGAGGCCCCCGGGCACTCTCTTACCAGTCGATCTCCTCGGGCTTCTGAATTTGTGTTACAGGAAGCGCTGAGTGCCTTCAGGCAGGGGCGCCGCTGACTGGCTACAGCAGTCAGTTGATGTATGTACCTTTTTTTATGAATGGGGAGCTACTGATTGGCTTAGAGCATCAACTGACAGCAGCGCCCCTGTCTGAAGGCACTTTGCACTTCCTGTAACACAGATTCAGAAGCCAGATGTCGCATGGGGGACCTGGAGATCGACAGATAAGAGAGTGAGTAAGTCTAAAGGTCCACCATTTGTTAACATCAACATGCTGGTTCTACTTAAGAAAAAGTTATTCCTGCTTTTACTAATGTATAACTTGGGGGGGAAAAGTGTTAAAATAAATAAATAACTTTAAAAACGGTGCATGCAAGGGGGATTTGAGACATGACCAACAGATAAAAAAAAAAACAAGTAACAGAGTCGTTTTAAAAGATGACAAGTTAACATCTGTTAGCAGTAGAAGAGTTGGGGAAACTGAATCTCCTGCCAGACGGCGAAACATAAAATTCAGCTGTGGCGGAAAGTGGCTCAGCCTAGGTAGGATATGGACAAAACAACCTCGGTCACAAGATGCTTAGTGAGTAGCAGCTGTGAGTGGCAGCTAGACACAGCAACCTACAAAATGCTATAATGGAATGTACAATCTATTGTGTGATCCATTACATATGATTGAATCCATTTTCCATATTCAATAGTGATGCTAACCTGTCAGGGAAGCAGACACTTCCATGTCCAAAAGGGGTGAATGTTCCCAGCATGACCTGCTCTGAAGAGAATATATTGCTGTAAAATCCTCCACAGGGCAGCCCAGAGGAGCTCTGACACACAGCTAGATGTCCAGACGGATAATTAGACAGCAGTTTGTTAAGGTATTATCAGGGAATATGTTTTTAAACAAAAACAATACATTACAGAATCTTTCTATGCATTTTATAAAGCAGTCTGGCTATCCTTCAGTGCTTTAATGTTAATGGAGGCCATCATTAAAAGGACACTATAGTCACCAAAACAACTTTAGCTTAATGAAGCACAAAGCTAAAGTAGAAGGGTCAGCAAGGAGTATAAAGGGTCTGCAAGTGGCACAAAGGTAAAGGAGCAGAAAGAATCAGAAGGAACAGAAAGGTAAAGTAGAAGGAGCAGAAAGGGGCAGAAGAGTCTGCAAGGAGCAAGAAGAGTCTGCAAGGAGCAGGAAGGGACAGAAGGAGTGCAACAGTAAAGTAGGAGAAGGAGCAGAAAGGAACAGAAAGAGGCAACAAGGGGCAGAAAGGCAAAGTAGGAGAAGGAGCAGAAAGGAGAAGGAAGGGACATCAAGGAGTAGAAAGGGTCAGCAAGGAGCAGGAAGGGACAGAAATTAGCAGGAAGGGTCTGCAAGAAGCTGGAAGGGGCAGAAGGAGCACAAAGGTAAAAGAGCAGAAAGAATCAGAAGAAGCACAAAGGTAAAGTAGGAGAAGGAGTAGAAAGGGGCAGCAAGGTAAAGTAGGAGAAGGAGCAGAAAGGAGAAGGAACAGAAATGAGAAGGAAGGGACATCAAGGAGCAGAAAGAGGCAGCAAGGAGCTGGAAAGGGCAGATGGAGCACAAAGGTAAAGGAGCAGAAAGAATCAGAAGGAGCACAAAGGTAAAGTAGGAGAAGGAGCACAAAAGAGCAGGAAGGGGGCAGCAAGGAGCAGAAGGGGGCAGCAAGGAGCTGGAAGGGGCAGAAGAAGCACAAAGGTAAAGTAGAATAAGGAGCAGAAAGGAACAGGAAGGGACAGCAAGGACCACAAAGGGGCAGCAAGGAGCTGGAAGGGGCCGAAGGAGCACAAAGGTAAAGGAGCAGAAAGAATCAGAAGGAGCACAAAGGTAAAGTAGGAGAAGGAGCACAAACGAGCAGGAAGGGACAGCAAGGAGCAGAAAGGGGCAGCAAGGAGCAGAAGGGGGCAGGAGTAGCAGAAAGGGGCAGCAAGGAGCTGGAAGGGGCAGAAGAAGCACAAAGGTAAAGTAGAATAAGGAGCAGAAAGGAACAGGAAGGGATAGCAAGGACCAAAAAGGGGCAGCAAGAAGCTGGAAGGGGCCGAAGGAACACAAAGGTAAGGTAGGAGAAAGAGCAGAAAGGAACAGAAATTAGCAGAAAGGGTCAGCAAGGAGCAGGAAGGATCAGCAAGGAACAGAAAAGGTCTGCAATGAGCAGAAGGGAGCGAAAGTAGCAGAAAGGGATGTTAAATGAAGGAGAATAAAAGGAGATTGGAGCCGGAAGGACAAGTGAAGTGATCCCTCCACTTTATTCTGGACACCACATCATAAGGCCTTTGTAGCTGGGCCTGGCAGGGAAACTTTGGACCTTTTCATCTCCGACGGTAAAAAAACCCATCAGTGTTAATGTGTTCACTTTTATTTACGGAGTGTCAGGAAGCACAGAGTGCCGCTGGGTAGGGGTGTCGCTGATTGGCTAGAGCTGTCAGATGGCACTCTAAGCCAATCAGTAGCTCCCCATTCATAAAAAAGTTTAAAAAAATTATGAACTGGGAGCTAGCGATTTGCTTAGAGTGTCAGCTGACCACTCTAGCCAATCAGCGTCACCCATGCCTGGCGTCAATCTGCACTTCCCGGTACAGAATCTGAATACCACTGTGCGACCTGGAGGAAGCCTTTGCGCATTCGGCTCTGCTGACGTCTGACGGGGGAGCTGACGTCGGCGGGGGAAGAGAGGTCACCAGCGCCGAGGAAGCCTGGCGCTGGAATAAGGTAAGCTGCTGAAGGGGTTTTAACTCCTTCAGCACCACGGGAGGGGGACCCTGAGGGTGGGGGCTCCCTCATGGCACTATAGTGTCAGGAAAACCGCTTTGTTTTCCTGACACTATAGTGATCCAGTTATGCCTCCCCTCCAGCCCCTCTCCCCCTCCCCCCGTGGACTCCCATGAGTCTCACTGCTCAATTCTCTGCCATTTAAAAGATAAATCACTTTGTTTGTGCAGCCACACCTCCCTGCATGTGACTTACACAGCCTTTCTAAACAATTCCTGTAAAGATTAATCTAATGTTTATACTTATTTTATTACACAGTCTGTTTAATTTATAATTACTTATCTTCTGCTCTGATAATAGCCTTCTAGACCCTGCAACAGCCTTCTGTGTGTGATTAAAGTTCAATTTACAGATCAGGAGATTAAAACTTCTAAAGCAAGTTAATGTATACAGTGCCTTGCAAAAGTATTCACCCCCTTGATTTTTTACCTAATTTGTTACATTACAGCCTTAAGTTCAATGTTTTATTAATCTGAATTGTATGTGATGGATCAGAACACAATAGTCTAAGTTGGTGAAGTGAAATGAGAAAAATAGATACATAAAACTATTTTTAGAAATAGAAAACAGAAAATTGGCATGTGCGTATGTATTCACCCCCTTTGTTATGAAGCCTATAAAAAGCTCTGGTGCAACCAATTACCTTCAGAAGTCACATAATTAGTGAAATGATGTCCACCTGTGTGCAATCTAAGTGTTGCATGATCTGTCATTGCATATACATACCTTTTTTGAAAGGCCCCAGAGGCTACAACACCTAAGCAAGAGGCAACACTAACCAAACACTGCCATGAAGACCAAGGAACTCTCCAAACAAGTAAGGGACAATGTTGTTGAGAAGTACAAGTCAGGGTTAGGTTATAAAAAAAAATATCCAAATCTTTGATGATCCACAGGAGCACCATCAAATCTATCATAACCAAATGGAAAGAACATGGCACAACAGCAAAACTGCCAAGAGACGGCCGCCTACCAAAACTCACGGACCAGGCAAGGAGGGCATTAATCAGAGAGGCAGCACAGAGACCTAAGGTAACCCAGGAGGAGCTGCAGCGTTCCACAGCAGAGCCTGGAGTATCTGTATGTAGGACGACAATAAGCCGGACGCTCAATAGAGTTGGGCTTTATGGCAGAGTGTCCAGAAGAAAGCAATTACTTTCAGCAAAAAACAAAATGACACGTTTTGAGTTTGCGAAAATGTGGCATGTGGGAGACTCCCAAAATGTATGGAGGAAGGTGCTCTGGTCTGATGAGACTAAAATTTAACTTTTCAGCCATCAAAGAAAATGCTATGTCTGGCGCAAACCCAACATATCACATCACCCAAAGAACACCATCCCCACAGTGAAACATGATGGTGGCAGCATCATGCTGTGGGGATGTTTTTTAGCAGCCGGGACTGGGAAACTGGTCAGAGTTGAGGGAAAGACGGATGGTGCTAAATACAGGGATATAATTGAGCAAAACCTGTACCACTCTGTGCGTGATTTGAGGCTAGGACGGAGGTTCACCTTCCAGCAGGACAATGACCCCAAACACACTGCTAAAGCAACAATTGAGTGGTTTAAGGGGAAACATGTAAATGTGTTGGAATGGCCTAGACAAAGCCCAGACCTCAATCCAATAGAAAATCTGTGGTCAGACTTAAAGATTGCTGTTCACAAGTGCAAACCATCCAACTTGAAGGAGCTGGAGCAGGAGGAATGCAAGGAGGAATGGGCAAAAATCCCAGTGGTAAGATGTGGCAAGCTCATGGAGACTTATCCAAAGCAACTTGGAGCTGTGATTGCCGGAAAAGGTGGCTCTACAAAGTATTGACTTTAGGGAGGTGAATAGTTATGCACATTGACCTTTTCTGTTATTTTGTCCTATTTGTTGTTTGCTTCACAATAAAAAAAAAAGAAAAAATCTTCAAAGTTGTGGGCATGTTCTGTAAATTAAATGATGCAAATCCTCAAACAATCCATGCTAATTCCAGGTTGTGAGGCAACAAAACACGAAAAATGCCCAGGGGGCTGAATACTTTTGCAAGGCACTGTAAATGCAAATAAAACCATTTTTCATGCAGGCTGTGTCAGTCACAGTCGGGGGGGATGTGACTAGGGCTACATAGACAGAAACAAAAGTAATTTAACTCCTAAATGGCAGACTGCAGGGGCACAATCTATATACAAAAACTACTTTATTAAGCTAAAACCTGTAGTATCCCTTTAATATTTTATGTAAAAAGAAAACGAGGGTTACATGAGATTTTCTTAGGGTATTATACACCAGTATACCCATCATAATGTAACTCTCAAAATATATGTATTTTTATTATTCTTCTAACTTTTAGCTTTTTCTCAGCTTATTGCGTGAGAAGCATATACATTTTTTTTTAGGCATAACAGTAATAGAAAGTGATATTATCTGTATCAGAAGGATATTAAACCATGGTGGAGCCATCAATCAGGGCATAATGAAGTTTCTGCAAAGAGGTATTTTCCCGCTTTATCACAGGAATCGGGGGCTTTCCATCCGTGAGGGAAAACGAAGGAGATTTATTTGTTTTTCTGAGTTTTACTTGCGGTGCCTTCTTATTTTTGTTGTAATAGCGAAGAATAACTGGATAGGACCACCCTTTCTCCTTCAAAGCCGTTAACTGCTTGTTACTGTAGAACAGTAGAAGTCCAAATGAAAAAAAAATTATGTGAGAGGAATGAACTAGCAATATATTTTGGTTCACCATCACGACACATGGAAACTCTAATACGTTGGAAAATCTCTCAGGATTCTTCATAAACATTAACTTCTGAAAAACAGATCTTTGAAAAGGAAGTTTTAGGAAATTGCAGATGACAGAAGCATAGCTAGGTTTTAGCATCAGAGCTAGTCTGGCGCCATTTTTATTTTCCTTATCTCCAATGTCACGTGTCTTCTCTCTCCCTTGTTTAAGGTTAAAATTGCCAATCTAGGTAAAATTCCCTAGGTCAGATATGCTTTCCAGTTTGGCTACTATGACCTTAAATTTGAAATTCTCACTTTATTAAATAACCCTAATAAAATTACTTTATTAAATAACTCGGTAGATTTGGGCACTTTAGAAGGGCAGATGCTAAAATATAAGAACACAGTGAACAACTTGCCCATTTTCCGGATCAGAAATGATTTGCAATCTTGTGAATGCCTGGTTTAAACTGGGAATTATACATTTTAGAAAACTAACAACTGACAATTGGAGTTAAAGGATTTTGCCAGTTTTGCAATTTTGAGCTACAATTTTCCATTTTGGGATGCGCCAAGCAATGCCGGGAGCTTTACCTGGCGCTGGGTTAAGGTAAGTAAAAACATTTTTCAAAATTGTCTTTGAGCGTTTATGAAAGGGGGAGGATTAGGACATTATTCTTTCATAAACAATAAAGGGCCTTTAAAGACCCTTTAAATCAGGGATGCCCAATAGGTAGAGCCCCATATGTTTTAAAACTACAGTTTCCATGATGCCTTGTCATTCTAAAGACATTCTAAAGGCATGCAAAGCATCATGGGTGTTGTAGTACTATAACATCTGGGGATCTACCTTTAAATGGTTCTCTCACTCCAATCCTCATTTTCACAGTGCAAGCTCCTCTCTGTCTGTCTCAGATGGATTTCTTTTTTTAATTGTTATTCTAAGCATTTATTTTGTGTTTATTAAAACTGTGATGTTTTAATTTGTTTCATTATTTTTTATTATAGCAAACCCCTGCTATGCTATTATATCAGGTTGCAGGTGGTGTGATATCTACATTTTATACAGACATGTTACATATAACTAGTGTACTTTGTTTGTAACAATATGAAATACTCAATACATTTGTATTTGAGCGAGTTGCAGTCTCTCCAGTGCCCAGGTAACGAGGCCCTTCCACTCCATCATTTCAGATGATGTATCTGTCTTGTGAAAAATCCATCCTTAAATCAGAAACACAGAGGAAATGAAACATAAAGATCTGATTGTTTGTTTTTTTTTGTAAAAGTTAGCAAAGGTTTCTAGGTTTTTTTATTATCACAGATTGTAGGCAGAGTTGTTTAGAATTACATGTCTATATTACCAAGTGCAAAACCATTCAATCTGGCCACTCTGCCTGTCATTGCATCACATGTTAGATACATTTACACTTGACATATTGAAAGGTGTTCTAGCCAACTTATGGTTGGATTTCAGAAGGAATATTTAAAGGAACACTCCAGGCACCAGAACCACTTCATCATAAAAAAGTATTTACCTTTTCTATAAATGCGGGCTATTGATTGACCATCTGACCGTTCTAGCCAATCAGTGGAGTTCATGGCTGGGGGCACTCCACACTTCCTGAAAGGAGCATTGGAGATTCACTGCTGGAGCCTATGGGCTCTAACCCCTTCAAAAAAGAAAGCGCCCGGGGACCTCATTGCACTATACCAACTTCATTCCTAGGAAGTTGTTATGGTGCCCAGAGTGTTCATTTAGACTGATTTGGTGACTTCAGGGTCTCTGTAAGCCTCTCGGCCACATTAACCAAATAAATCATATAAGCAAATAAATGTGACATTAAACTAATTAAAGGTAGGCACCAACGCAAGTACATGTGGTAGCCTTTGTCCTCCTTAATATGCTGTATTTATTCCCACACTCAAATAGTTATATTTTTTTTGAAAAAATAGAATTAAATCTATAGAATGCTGCACCATTAGTCTGACACCTTAGCCAGTTCTGCCAATTCAGGTAAAATAAACACTTCCATATCAGGAATATGAAAAAGTAAGCTGCTCTAACGAAAGTCTAACAGTCTTCATTAAAAACAGAAACCACACAGGCAGACACACAGTATAAAATAATATACTTTCTGCATATTGACTATCTGCAGCAGGGTTGTGATTTCTATGAAGCAGCTTCATTTTATATTACAAGTGAGCAGAGGAAATCATCATGAGACAAACATAACACTCCAAGGATAGTTAATGTAATGCATTGAAATCGTGTGGATATTGCTGTATGTCCTGCTGAGTTTCTATATACTGTACAATGAAACTGCTTAATTTGCAACTCAACCAGGCTGCACACACTCAGTGAAACAACAAACAGTCATGTAGAGACATTTTAAAGTTTTTTTTTTAAAAGGTGAATCACTAAAGTGAGAATGTCAAAGTAAATTCAAAGTGAATTTCAAATTTTAAGTAGCAAAACTCGCAAAATATTTTTCTAATTTGGCTATTTTGGCCTTAAATTTAGCACAGTCTACCTGGGTCTCCTCGCCTCTTACTAACACAGCTGTTCAGCTCACTCAGTGCTGTCATGGGCTGAGCTGTGTATGTACGCTGATAAGGAAGTCTTTATAAAAAGATAAGGGGCGTGGCTACAAAGGGAAGGATTATTGTGGAGCATTCCACAAATTATTTCTTTATTTGCAGGAACTACAAACATTTAAGGATACACAAATTACAACACATTAATGAGGCCAAATGCATTAAAGAAGTGTTAATGTCCAGAGTGTTCCACGTAATAATTAATGGAAACATTTAATATCTGCAATAAGTACATGTTGTGTGCCTTTCACACGCACGTTTACAATCCAGTTTGTTACATACAGATAGGACACTACCTCTGCTTTCAGATGCTCTGGATGACATTGAGAAGCTGATAGTGACAGGTAAATGAGGCGCAAAGCTTTGCGGCGCTAAACAGGAAATAAAAGACAGATGAGAACGTAAACAGCTCAAATTTTGGAATAAAATCTATTTTTAGGCTTATTTCATATACTGATGGTTTTGCAGATTAAAATACATGTGTTGTGTTTAACATGAGACTTAATGTAATATTGTTGGATAAGCATTATATAGATTAATATTTTGAAATTTTTATTTTTATTTTAATGCCATCTATAGATTACGCAAGTCAAAATGCTACCAGTAAGTATAAGATTTGACTGAAAATTAAACCATTTTTTTTAAATGGAGGCTTGGCTTGGACTGAATAAAAAACAGAAGAGATTTAACTCCCAAATGGCAGATATTTGTGCAGTGAGATTGTAGGGGCATGATCTATACACCACAACTGCTAAAGTTGTTTTGGTGTCAATATATCTCTTTACTCTTGCCCTGTTCTTATGCCACCCTCTTTTGACCCTCTTTTAGTCACATTCTACACAATTTGTAGATGACAGGTTAATTTTAAGATTAGCTCCTTTGTACTCACATTTGTTTCCGGGCAGTTTATTTTGAACCACATCCTGTCTTCCCTTCTCCTTTCCATGGTCCACCAGAGCAGCATTGGTTTTGTTTTTACTATTCTTGGCGTTGTCCACTTTTTCATGAGGTGCAGTCCCTGCTCCTGGTGGCTTGCTTTCACTTTCCAGTAGGCTTATTTCTGATGCCACTTTCTTGGACTGCCAATATCGTTTGATATACACTGCTCCGTCAATTAACTCTTTCCAGCTGTAATTGAGAACATTCACCACTCCTTGAGGGAAGATGATCTCATATTGTGAGAAGATAAAAAGTAGTTTCCCAAGCTCATGGAGCAAGGTTGGGGCAACATATTTATGGTCTTCAAAAGGACTCATGAACTGGTCATCATCCATCTGGATCTGGGACACCTTCTGGACAAGATTCTCCATACTATTTTTTGGTGAATTAGAACTATTGATTTCTGGTAACAAGGGGTGTTTTTCTTCTCCTTGTACTTTGTCCTCATTTGGAAATGGTGGTTGCTTTTTTTCAGCTTGAGTAGAGGTTCCTTTTCTATTTTTATTGATGCTAATTAAAAAAGAGAAATACAGAGAGATAAGCAAGATGTATGTCCATGAAATGACCATCGATGGTTCCATTTAACTTAATTGTGATGGAGGTGTCACGGCTACACTACACAACTTAAAAGTACAGGTCAGGAATACGAGGGCAGAAAGGATGTATTCCCAGAACTATGAATGGTTGCAATGATGACACAGCACTACCTGCAAAGGAAATGACGCTAAGCGTCATATCAGTATACATAGAGGGGTGCTGCGAGCATGCCGTGTCCCTCTTTCAATCACCAATAAAGCATTTTTGGGCCAATTGGTGCATTTGGAAATCCAAATGCAAGCACCGATCAGGAAGGCAGAAGAGAAATAGAAGGCAGCACTTCCTGATCAACACACTGAGTGCACAAGAAAGCCGCAGCAGAGTGTAGATCGGGTAGGCAGGGGGCAATTATGAAATAGCCTTCCTGGTTAATATTAGTCCAAGGGTCCCTTATTGTTATATTAATTTATTTTCAATACGACAGACATACTATTATTTTTAATTAATTTGTAACTTCATTTCTGAGCAATTTTTAAGCTAGTGGTCTCAGTCTCTGAGTTATGGATTTGATGCCAGTTCTATTTCTGAGAGGCTTTCATTCTGGACTAATTCAGTATAACTATACAGGATCTTCTGAATTACCACCGATTACCCCCATTCAAAAGAGGCAAGACAAGCTGTAATGAGTACTTCTTCAACCCATACATTAAAGGATCACTATAGTGTCAGGAAAAAAAAGCGGTTTTCCTGAGACTATAGTGCCCTGAGGGTGCCCCCACCCTCAGGGTCCCCTCCTGTGGCGCTGAAGGGGTTAAACCCCTTCAGCAGCTTACCTTAATCCTGCGCCGGGCTCCCTTGGCGCTGGTGACCTCTGCTCCCCGTCCGACATCAGCTCCCGAGTGGAGCGGAATGCGCATGCGCGTCAAGTGCCGCACACAGATTCAAAGAGTCCATAGGAAAGCATTTCTCAATGCTTTCCTATGGACGCTCTGCGCGATGGATGCGAAATTCGCATCCAGCGTCGCAGATGTGCCTCTGGCGGCTGTCCATAAGACTGCCACTAGAGGCCGGATTAACCCCTAATGTAAACATAGCAATTTCTCTGAAACTGCTATGTTTGCATCTGAAGGGTTAAAACCTGAGGGACCTGGCACCCAGACCACTTCATTGAGCTGAAGTGGTCTGGGTGACTATAGTGTCCCTTTAATCCACATAGTGACTTCAGTATCTCCAATGTCTACCTAGTCTCAATAAGCTTCTCCTATGCCAAACCACTGTTGTCCCCACGCCCTGTCCACAAGTTTTTAAATTTTGCTTTTATTATTTGTGCTTAGGTTACCCTATATCTGGAGAATTTCTGCTTTTCCCTTGAAATATGCTTGTAGTGAAGGCAAATACCAAATATTGCAGAGGCTTGGCAATTTGTAGTTGAATATCACAGAATTAAAACACATACTATCTCTCTCCCTGACTACAAATAAATTACCTTACCTGTTAATAAAATTTGCAAGACGTGGGTTAATATTCATGTACTTCATATCAGACGGTAATTCCTCTGGAATTTTCTTTGTTCTCTTAATTGTTCTTGTTTTCATCTGAGTCAAACCATAGTTCACATTGTGATCATGCATAAACATAAGCAAATTCTGACATTTTATTTTCCTAATATGTTATGTTACCAGCTGAAGTGGTAGAGGTTAACACAGTAAAGGAGTTTAAGCATGCGTGGGATAGGCATAAGGCTATCCTAACTATAAGATAAGGCCAGGGACTAATGAAAGTATTTCAAAAATTGGGCAGACTAGATGGGCCGAATGGTTCTTATCTGCCATCACATTCTATGTTTCTATGTTTCTTTTAGGTTAAAATTAAATTATTTATAGAACTATAAACATATGTACACATGCATGCACACTTTAGTGATTATCATTTCCCTGTTAGGTACTCCTGTTTGTTAAATGAAATAGCCAAACAACAAATCATGTGGCTGTACCTAAATATATTGCGTACATGGATTTGGTCCAAAAAACATAAAGAATAGGGGGAAATAGCCATTGCATACAAACTCCCATCACTCATGGGCGGCAGCATTGGCTGTAGTATTTATCAGCTCAGTATGTAAACAAAACAAAGAAAAGTTGTGCTCTCTCCCAAATCTCTATGTACATATAAATAACAGAGTATTTTTAGTACTACTGTGATGGCCAATCAAGTGTAAGCTTATCTGACAACAAGATAAATCTCTTATATAATCATTACACTAACCATTCACCTTGCTCCTTTTAGCTAAAGTGCAACATCTCTAATGAGACAGACAGAGGTATTATTATGAATCACTACAAACTAACTCTATTGGAGTCAATACTAAAACATAATCACTAAAGATTGGAGAAAACATTGCCTCAAATGTTGAGGAATCTGGAGTTTGTTTGAAAAGAGCACATATTGTTGCTTAAAACCTTAGTGAGGTTAATGTGTTGCTTAGATAACACTTCAGAAATAATAAGAAAAAAAACATTTTGGGGTTTATTGATTAAACAGTAAAATAGGGTAAATTGAAAACCAAAGCTAAAATTTTCAACTCCGCTAAAGTGACAGTTTGACTAATTTAGCTTAAATTGAGCAATTTTCTTTTCATTACGCTACAATTTTGTTTTTAGCGAATAAACCAATAAGTCCTATAATGTGTGAAATAGGCCGTACCTGGTCATAAAAATAAACGGGGTTGGCGCTCAGCATCATAGAAGCCATGTTTGTTCCACGTAACGCTCACAGAGGTATTTCTGTAGAAAAAAAAATTATTTAATAATACATAAAGTGTTAATGTAGTACAGAAGCATCTTTGACATGACAAGCAATGTGAACACCGACTTCTGATTTATATATTACAGATGGATATACACAAATGCACCAATTACTCCATCTGTGCTGCCTTTTTCCTCTGAAATTTGAAAAATATGTGTCTTTCAGTTCCATGTGATTATATGTGTATGACATTTATGTACCTATGTTGGCTGCAGTAAAATAGTCAAGAGTTGTATAATTTACTTGGCAAATACAAATGAATTATAATGACGGCATGGGCATCCTAGTCCCGAATTTCTTTAATATCAGTGCTTTGTAAATGCCCAATGTTATATTTTATATAGGATTCGGATTAAAAAAACAGGGATTTTAAAGTTGACACTAAATGCATACGTCCAGATAGTGCAGATTCGGTCAGAATGTCTGAATTTTGACCAAATGTGGCTTTAGTAAATATGAGACTTGGCTTTTATTAAATAAGTTCCCTTTGTGTTTAATTGACACAAAGTGGGCATGCCTTGAATTTCTAGGGTGGAAGACTTTGGAATATAAAGAAACAAAAATAATTCACCAAAAGGGTAGTAGATACTTGGAACAGCCTTCCAACGCAGCTAGAAATTCTAAAAGTAAAGTAGTTCGAGCATACACAGAATGTATAATAAAGTGTACGTACATGAAGCAAGAGATAGTGCAGGCTAGGTTTGCCAATGTTTCTTTCTGCTGTTGCGTTTTTTGATAATGAAAATGAGCAACAACATTTTGCAAATGGATGAAAGGGACAGTATGGTACAGACAGATAAGCTCTATGCCAAATCATAGAAACATAGAATGTGACGGCTGATAAAAACAATTCGGCCCATCTAGTCTGCCCAATTTTCTTAATACTTTCATTACTCCCTGGCCTTATCTTATAGTTAGGATAGCCTTATGCCTATGCCACGCATGCTTACACTTCTTCACTGTGTTAACCTCTACCACTTTAGCTGGAAGGCTATTCCATGCATCCACTACCACTTCATGTAAATGAACTGAACCTTCACGTTCTATCCTGCATTTACTGTGCTTGCACATATTCTGAGGCCAAACTTATAAACTACAGGTTTTTGCCTCTCAACCCTAAGCAATAATTAATAGTCCAGTCGCCTTGTCCTCTGGAACCCAGGGCAGGAGAAGGCAACCTTTGGCACTCCAGATGTTGTGGATTATATCTCCCGGATAGCTCTTACAGCCATAATGCTGGCAAAGCATCAGGGGAGATGTAGTTTACAACATCTGGAGTGCTGAAGGTTGCCTAAGATTGTCTACCCATGGCCTAGAGGCTTATGTTAAATTGGCACGGTCACTATCTGGGGACTATGCAAAATTCGCAAAGACCACTGATGGTGACATTGCCGTTGGAGGAGGTAAAGATGAATTCTATTTACCTGAACCTGTCCCTTGCAGGCATGGCCATCTTCCTCTGGTGGGTCCTCTTCACTTGCACGCGCCAGAGTACAGCATTGAGGTCTATGGAGGATCCTGCAAGACAGTGGGAACCTCCATAGACAGAGCCAATTACCTGCAGCCGTCACTGGTGAAAGCTGGAAGGGTGACACTTCTAGATGGCGGTAGCTTCACCCAGTGTCTAGAAGTCAGCCACAAGAAATATACAGAGACAAAGTTTTACCCAAATTTTTCTCAGTATATCACTTAACTGGGTTGGGCTCAGTGAAATTCCAACACAGTGAAACCAAGTATTTCATAAAGATTATATCTTTATGAAATAGTCTTTTTTTCAGGGGGTGGGATGGAGATAGGGGTGACAGTGCTGCTTTAAAACCTGATGTTGACAAAACTTGACAAAAGACAGAGATTCTGCCATAAAGTTTTATCTGTTACCTCAGCTGTTGCAGCTCATCTAAGACTTAGTCTAAGGAGACTCCTGTGGTCTTGCAGGAGTGTTGTGTCCAACTCTCGCACAAACGCTGTGGCGAGAAAATGTCGGCACCTATGGTCATGACACCTTTAGGTAAGTTTATCAACTTTACACTGTTCCCTGGGGCCTTGCACCTCAGTTAGTCTTTGCAATCACAAGAAGCACTGCCAGAGTCAAAAGACAACATCTTTGCACCAAAACCCCTGCATCTTATGTTTAGTGTGTACACCCCTAAACAGTGAATTAAAGCCATAACCAATTTGGCCACAATAGGTGATTAGGAAAACTTCTCAAATTTAGTTATCGCGGGGGCGGGGCTTAGCGGCGGAACGAGCCGGACGCCATTTCTGACAGCTCTGAGCTAACTGAAACTGAATCCGTCAGCATCACCAAAAGTACTTGCCATCCACGCAAACAATTACCAGCATTGCCCGAGGGAGTCCATCCTGCACCGCCCGATGCCATTCCGGTACAATTCGAGGCAGGTAAAGCCCAAAACGAAAATCCGGGCCTACTACACACCGAACAGCCGCGGCCTGGAGTACTTGTGGGGCGGAGAGAGCCTGGGAGACCCAAGCGAAGTCCATCTACAGGACCCCGACCAGTCCCACAAAGAGATGGGGCGCAGATCACAACGGCCACACCAAGGTACTGTCACAGCACAGCCTGACATAGGGGCATTGCTGCAGAAACAAACCCCAGCCAAAATGGCGTCCGACCAGGGCCCAGACCCCCCACAGGCAGACACCCCACCTGCACAAACCACTCAGGGGGACACACAGAGATCTCCACAGCTCACACAGACCCCAATCACCAAACCCATACCCCCACAGGGATCAACAGACCCAGCCACAAAGCAGGACCTGCAGCAGTTGCAAACTATGCTGCAGGATATACAACACCTGCTGGCAGCAGACCTACCAGCGCTCAAAACGAGCATGCAACAGATCACAGAAAAAGTGACCACTACTGAAAACCAAGTCAAAACAATACAGGGAGAAGTCTCTACGCTACAAGATTCGCTCCACCAACTACAACAAGACCAGCAACGCTTAGCAATACAACTGGCGACGCAGGAGGACAAAAACCGGCGCAACCACATCAAAATCAGAGGCATCCCGGCATCGGTGAGCAAAGAAGACCTACCGCATTACGTGAGGCGACTCACACAATCACTACTCCCTCCCGCAGTAACAAAGAAACTCGCCTTTGCAGGGATTTACCGCCTACCCACCCCTCCTAGAGCCGCCGCAACGCTAGCCGGAGATGTCATTGTCCGGTGCGCCCTACCGCAAGACAAGGGGCACATCATGAGCGCCATCAGGGGTAAGACCCCGCTTGATTTCGAGGAAACCCAACTGACCTTTTATCAGGACTTATCCAAGGCCACCCTCCAGTGGAGAAAGTCGCTTACGGAACTCACAGGCCATCTGCGTACAGCGGGGATACCATATAGATGGGGGAACCCCCGCTCTCTGCTCATCACCCACCAGGGGACCACCCATAAAATCACCTCAGGGACTGAGGCCCCTACACTACTCACAAAATTGGGCCTGCAAAACTTGCCCAACCTGGGCACTCCCCACGTATGGAATCCAGATACCTCGGATACGTTTGTGCCGAGAAGACAGAGAATGGACACGCAAGCCACCTGACGGACAGGGGGAGAGAGGTCTCTTAACCCTGCCCGCTTAACGGCGATATCCATATGTCTTGTCTACTACAATCTGTATTCCCACCACCCTCCGCGCAATACATTTCTGATGTTGAAGTTCTTATCTGTTTATCGCTAGCTAGATGACTTAGCTGACGAGGACGCTGGCGCGCTGCCGCATTACCAGACCATAAGCTATACCCTAAGCCAAAACCTACCCCCCCGACAGCCCCTAGGTTAGGGCTACCACCCCTCATGAGAGGTCCCCAGCGGAACTAGATGACCAAGCCACTTCGGAACACGTGTACCACTCACCAGACTACATGACCGACGAAACTACACCTACTGCACCCACATGGACCCTAGCACCACTCCGCATCTCCACACATACTTCCTAGCACCAATAGGGTCACGTCATCGACACCAACCCATGACCTAGGTACTGCACCCACAGACGAGTAACACGACTAAACCCCTATACGACACAACCTCTACCTAGGATGTTACGCCTGTTAAACTTAATGAAAAAATGTGCTAAAACTGATCACATGCATTATCTGACAAATGTTTAAACCTGTTACCTACTCAAACGATGCATAAGATGCAACATGTCTAACTCTTGTGCACGCAAAAATAAAGAATTATAAAAAAAAAAAAAAAAATTTAGTTATCGCTAGGCTATAGAAATGTAACTCTGGCAACTTAGTTTTTACTTCACCGTTTAGTTAACCAACCATACACCATTTCTTATGAAAAATAACGTTTAAAGGGCGATTCACTAAACTTGAAATGGTACAGGATTATAACAAGACAATTGCAGCTTGAACAATAGCTGAGTTTGAAAACGTATGTTGCATAATATTGGATAAACATCTATATTCAGTAAACAGTGAATTGTTGGCGAATATCCAGGAAACTGAAGACCAAAATAGTTTAGATAGAGACGTTTTCAAATTCACTTGTTCTGGTCTAAAATTTTACATTTCCTTGTGAACTCATGACAATTTGCAGTTTAGTAAATGGCAGTGGGGTATATTCACTAAAAAATAAATTACAATCATGGTTATTCAAGGTGATACAAGCTGGGATATCAAAGTGAATTTAAATTGAAGGTCAAAAGTGCCAGACTGGAAACTAAATTCACTTAGAGAATGTTTCCAAGGTGGATATTTTGCCCTAAAAATGCTGATTCTGAAAAAAATGTATAACGCAATTATAGTCACAGCTTGAATTTTTTTTTGCGTACATATAACTAAATCTTGCTGTTCAGTAAATAAACCCTTTATAATGTGTCTGTACTTCAGAGGGATCAGTACTCTCCCAGGGGAATTTGAAATATGCCTCTACATAAATCTATTGTAAAATCAATTAGGTAACTTTGAAAACAGGACTTGTCTAAATAATAGTCAAATGGCATGGAAACAAAAGTGTGTATACAAAAAGAATATATTTAAAAAAAAAAAAAAAAATTTCTTGCATTAGACACAAGAAGTTACACAGTCAGAAAGTGACCAAAGAAAAACATGTAAAAAAAACAAACAAAAAAATGCATTCCATGACTTACATTTAGGAGACCAGCTCATTATAATGCAGTGTGCAGGGGGCTGGAAGCGGTGTACAGCTCTCCTTTATCAGTGTGTCTTGGTGTGCACAGTTTGGGAGATGGTTGCCTGGTTACCTTATGCTTTCAGCTTAGCCCTGGATTTAGTTTCTGTATGGGTTTCCCCTGCCTTCATTGTTAAGTTAATGATAAAGCAGACATTCTAATCACAAACTAGAACTTTTCAAACATGTCCCTATGAGAGAAGGGGAGACTTTAAAAGATTGTAGATGATTTTTTAAACTTTATTCACATGAAGGGTTCCACTTCAGACACATACCAGGTATTCCTGGCTGAGTTACCTGAGATCAACCATTACACCCCCTGTAGACCATGATGGGAACTGTATTGTGTGGCACAGCCTCTATAAATAATGGCTGCCTCATTATCAGCCCTAAAAATATACTGCAAGCTATGTCACATAACTATTTTAACTAGAGAAGCAGCAATTTAATTTTAATTTTATTTTCAGTGATTAGAAGTGGTCATGGTGCCTAGAGTCTGTTTGTCCTGCATCTCACTATGAAATGCTACACATACAGAGATTAACTCCTATGCTGCTGCTGGTGTAGCGTCACTGAGATGTTATCAGATAGCCCAGAACTAGAGCTCCGGGCTAAATAATGCCAGTTCTGTGCATATTGCGATGCACAGGATTGCAGTCATTGGCGATGCTCTCAGCCAATGAATGGCTATCTGGATCAACTTTAGGCTCTGCTGAAGCCAAATGCACATCACAGTCAGCCCTAATAGAGACCTGGCAGGAACGGGTAAGAGAGCGAAACATTGCAAAATGAACGTTTTTTTCCCCCCCATTACCGGTAAATGGGGTCAGGGTATCCTAACATTAGAGAGTTGCAGTAGCCAGGTGCTGATCCTGCCGCCCGTCATTCATTGGTTAAGAACATCAGCTGAGTGTTCAGAGATAAATCAAAATCTGTACAAGGAATCTGTACAGAATTATCAATACTCAGCAAGAACGTTTGTTTCTAGACTGCCTATTGAGACAACCTGAGGCAGAGTCACACACACGGGGTCTAGCCTAAATGTCCTTGTATGCAGCATTTCATACTATGTGGGAACAAAGAACTGTCTCTTCCAAACAATTGATAGAAGGTACAACTTTTATTAAGCAGCTTGCAGGTTTATATACAGCCATTCCCAATAGAGGGTCAAAAAGGCAGACAATGTAATCCCACGCTGGCACCTTGGTGTCTGGGACATAACGTAATCAACAGCCAGATAATTAAATTAACTACCAGACACCAGGGCGACTATTCAAAAAAAAAAAAAAAAACAGTTCCAGGGCATCTCAAGCGCTCTGTGCCTAGTACAAGCCTAGATATCTTCCCAGAGTCCCTGTAGGTAGCTGGACAGTGCAACTAGGTGTTATGGGTATCTTGCAGAGTAAGGGTAGAGGGTAGAGGGGTGAATGAAGCGATTTTAGTCCATTTGGGAAGGGAATGATCTGGAGTCGTTTTCCCCGTAACATAATGACCGGATCAGTCCGTTAAAGAGTTTTACCATGATTCCATTATAACTTAGACACACGTATGTGCTCCAGGCCAAGGCCAAGAATTACACAAAGGTGCAGGTGATGGACCAGCCTAGTGACACACACAAACACACACCCTCTCACACACTCTTTAGTGTTATTGGAGCCATGGGAAAGCCATTGCTCATGTGCCCCCCAATCCTCCCATAAAGGAGCTCTCCTTCTTCCCTATTTTACCACAAACTTTAACAATCTGACACCCTAGCACCCACCGCCAGCTTCCAACAACCATTACCCAATCTCAGGCATTTAATTTGCAGTCTCATACCCAGAGGCATAACTAGAAACCACAGGGCCCTGGCGCGAAATTGCCCTGGGCCCCCCGCCCCTCCATTTGTATAATATAACAAATACAGATACATACACGGACACACATGCTAATACACAGACACACAGAATGACACACATTCAGATATACAGAATTACATGTCTACAGATAAAAACACTGACACACATACAGATACACAGACACACACTGACACACAAATGCGGATACACAGACACACATAGAGAGAGATACACATATAGACAAATGCAGATACACATACACAGAATGACATGAATACAGATACAAATAGTGACACACATACAGATACATAGAGGCACACACTGACACACATGCAGACAAATACACATACAGACACATACAGACATACAGATACCCCTACAGACAAGCCTGGGCTGCACCACAATGCCAGTGGGCACCATGGTCGCAGGGGTCGGCAGGGCCCCCTGGAGTGACGGGCCCAGTCGCAGCTGCGACCCCTGAGACCACGGTAGTTCTGCCACTGCTCATACCCTCCCCTCCCTACAGCAAAGTATGAATTATCTCCTACACCAGGAATAGGAAACTTTGGCACCCCATATGTCGTGGCTGTAAGAGCGTTATGAGAGATGTAGTCCAAGACATCTTGGGTGCTGAAGATTGCCTACCCCTGCCCTATACTAATTCCCAGATTGCAGTACCTGCTATTTATCCCAGGCTTTCCCAAATCCAAAGGACCGTACCTCAAACAATCTGTAATATTATCCTACTGCTACATCACCAGGTCACTGGCCATTATGTAAAAGATGCTGCAGTGCTATCCAACATTATAGCACCTGGTCACTGGCACTAACTATGATGTGACTGAGAGTGCAGTATTATACAACTGGCATTCACAGCAACAGGTAACTAGACATCATGCGATGGGGGATGCAGGATTCAACATCCTTCTTACAAAGTTACCGGTCATTCCTTTTCAATGCTAACGAATGTGGCTGGTCAACTGCTGTCATCTCTAGATTAAAAGAAAACTGTCACCTCAGAACTAGTTGTCGTATAATAATCCTTTCATCAAGTTTTGAAAGGGAATACATTTTGTTTTAAATGAAGTAAATGTAAAATAATAATAAAACAACCTATCCCTTCCTTTAGTATATGATAGGATCCTTCGGCCATATACATACACCTTGGGTTGGACAGTCGTTAAAAACTGGCAGTTATTCTCTATCTATGGTCTTACCTGGTTCACTCCCAGCACAGACACAGAGAACACTGTCAGCTCTCAAACACTGTCAGCTCTCAAACACTGTCAGCTTTCAAACACTGTCTGCTCTCAAACACTGTCAGCTTTCAAACACTGTCAGCTCTCAAACAGTCAGCTCTCAAGCACTGTCAGCTCTCAAACACTGTCTGCTGACAAACACTGTCTGCTGTCAAGCACTGTCAGCTCTCAAACACTGTCTGCTGACAAACACTGTCTGCTGTCAAACACTGTCTGCTCTCAAACACTGTCAGCTCTCAAACACTGTCAGCTCTCAAACACTGTCAGCTTTCAAACACTGTCAGCTCTCAAACACTGTCAGCTCTCAAACACTGTCAGCTTTCAAACACTGTCAGCTCTTAAACGCTGTCTGCTCTCAAACACTGTCAGCTCTCAAACACTGTCTGCTCTCAAACACGGTCAGCTCACAAACACTGTCTGCTCTCAAACACTGTCTGCTCTCAAACACTGTCAGCTCTCAAACACTGTCAGCGTTTATATGGCTGAAAGATCCTGTCATGTACTAAAGGTAGGTATGTGTTTTCCTTATTTATCTTTTACATATACTTCATAACAAGACATATATATTATTTTTTTAAATGTTTCAATACTTGATGTTAGATTGTCAAATTAAAAATACATTTGAGGTGATATCTTAATTTCACTTAATATCTTTAATATTACCTGATTCTAAGGTTTGGTTATTTTTATAGTCTGAGTCTGGAGTCTGGAGTATCTCTTAAGTGTCTTGGTTTTACTTTTTTGATTTTGGGTCAGGGGAACAACAATCTTTATTCCTTTATATTGAAACCATTTATATATAACATATCACCATGTAACAAAGTTGTCAAACTGTCAGAAGCAATATATCTATTTTCATTCTTCTCAAACTCTGCAATTATTCACTAAACTCTGAACTGTATCAAATGTAAATCAAAAATAACAGACAAGCTTTCAAGGTCTATTGGATTACAATTTGCTA